AGAATTCCAGACAACTGGTATCCTAGTAAAAAACCTGTAAATCTCATTGATGGTGCTGAGTATATTCTTCGTCTTTATTTATCTCGTCCGGTCGAGTTTGGCGCCAATGTAGATGGCACGTTTGTTCCCGATCCATTTCAATTAGGAACATCACCTACCACCAAAGATATTTTATGTCTCATTTATAATGCTATATGTGGTGCTGCGTCAGCGACAACCTTATCTATGATAGCTGCCGATCTCAATTCAATCTTTGTTAGTGGATCAATTGGTTGCACACGTTACACACCCAAAGCTTAAAGACATTATAAATTTATATTAATCTTGCATTCTATTGTACTTTTTCTATTATTAATAAATTTCAGTAGATATTATTCTTAGATAACATCATACCTAGATATTCAATGATACATAGAGAAGAACAAGTTTCTAAAGACTTGAAAACATGTTGAACGTTGAGGATAACGATGAGAGTGTTAGTATTGATATTTTTCTTGGAGATACTAACATATCTTTTGATATAAGATTTTTCATTGAAATATTGAAGAAATAACTGCATAGAATTCAAAAAAAAGTTTTATGAAATAGAAATTGATACAATTTTATCATAATTCATATATATATTATTTAGTAATGAGATGGAATCTATTTGCCTGCTCTTCATAATTGTGTTTACAATATTTTCTACTAAAGAAATTAATAATTAATATATTATTCGTACTAATTTAAATTGATCGGTCAATGTTACAAAGTATATATATATATATTTATTATGATAGAAATTTATTCTCGTAATTAGATTTCTAAAAAAAGATCGTTCTATTTGTTATTAGACACATAACATTTGATATGCAGAAATATCTATCTCGGATAGAAATTCTATTTATATTTTCTTCACAAATAGTATCAATTCTTTTTGTTATAATTTCTTTACATCGATTACTCATATTCCATCAACCTTGGAAAAGAAAATATTATCTTTCTTGAAATACGATAACACATGTTAAATCTAAAAGGAATATTTAAACTGCAATTTTAATCTATATTAAATCTCAATGTCATCAAATCAATTGAATTTATTGATTGTCGAGAGCGCTTTTCCATATAAATTTCAACTATCTATTTTTCTTATCATAATTTAATCATAATAAAATTAAAAAAAAATAAATAAAATAATCAAAAGAAAAATATTTGTTTTATATTTCTAGTGTTTTGTTTGATTTTTTATACCTAATTTAGTTGATGTCAAACGAATTTGTTCAAGAGCATCTTGTAAATTTTGTGCTATATCAGTAACTGCATTTTTTGACGTTGGTTTTGGACAATGTGTAAGTATTGAACGACACAATTGATCCATTGAATTGAATTTTTCAATAATGTTATCGAAATTTTGTTTTGTCAAGTCTTGTCGAAGTTCTGAGGCAGCTTCAGTTTTTTTACTTGAAACATTCAAAAGTAATTCAACAATTTGTAAATATGTCGTTGCTAAATGTTTTTTTGATGTTTCATCTTGTGTTCGTATCGATTGAGCAACACCTTAAATTATAAAAAAAGAAATGAAAATATTCGAATTCCAAAACCAATTCTTACTATTAATAATTCTTACAATACGCCATAAACGAAATGTAATAAATAATAAAGAAATTTCTGCAATAACATTCGATTGATGTAAAAAATAAATATCAATAACAAATGAAACAATAACAATAGTTGCATCTAACCATTCCATTTTTTTGTCACGAAAATTCCACCATTTTTTACCGAATGCATAGATCTTAATACAAACTTCAACAACGAATATAGCTAATAAAAATATTGATCCATAATGTAAAATTTCAATAGCTAATTCTAATTTCGGATATTCCTTTTCATCACCACTACCACCATGTTCAGCTTTATTATCACATTTTTGACTTAATAATATAAAATCAAGCATTAATTCTGCAATAACAAGTACACAATCAATTAAGACAAGAATTATAATACCAACATGAAATGCTGTTTTTTCAACTATATGTACAATACGACGTTGATGAGAATATTTTACATTCCACCATTGATTAAAACAAAAACAACATTGATCATGACAGCAACTTTTAACTTCTGGTTCATTTATTTCTTGATCAAATTGTTCAATTGTCGTTAATGTATTTTTAGCTATAATATCATTGGTTGGCTCGGTTCCAAATGAAATATGCGTTGTTGCCATTTACTTTTCTAATGTTCGAATCTTTGTTCTTTTTGAAAAGGTTATTATATATCTTAAAATATCACCCTTCACACACACACACCAAAAAAAAGTGTCTTATCAGTTGAAAATAAAAAGAACGAAAAAGAGAATAGACTATTGCAAATAATTATCTTTGATAAAAGAATAAAACAAGTATTAAGATTTATTCTTTCATATTATTAGATTAAGAGAAACAAAAATCGAATTTATTTTAAGGTAATAATAGCACAAATTAATTTAATTAATGAAGTTAATAGAACCTGGATATTTTATGTGAATAAGAGATATCATTAATTTTAATAGCATGCTCTTAAAAATTAACTATTTCAATTCAAAAAAAAATTGGCCTTGTCAAAAAATGAGTGACATGAACGGAAGAGAAACTTATTTGACTTCCGTTAGAAAAAAAAGAATGACTATCTTTAACCCAATAAAACATGATTTTTTTTTCGATTATGTAAATATACATATCATGATTCAGTTTAAAATTTCATTATACTGGAAGACTAAGAAAGAAATATCCTCGGAACTCATCCATCGAATAGAAAGAGATTTAATCAATTTTCTATACATAACATCACATTTGATTTCCGTCGGAAATAATTATCGTCACATAATATTTAATCATTCATAGGATTTTCTTGGTCGTACAAAATAAATCAATCAATAATTATATATATATATTCCGTTTTCTTTTTTATTTTTGCCGTTCTAACTCTTCATTATTGATAGATATATTTCTAAGGAAAAAAATAGTACAAAAAAAGAAAAGAGAAACAACAACCGGAACTTGACAAAGATCTACATAAACAAAAGAAAAACAAAACACATGAATCGACCGGCTTGTTGTGTATATTATGTATTTCATAAAAAGAAAATTCGTTCAATAAACAACAACAATATTTTGTAGATAGATGAAAGTGGTGCGTAAAGAAGAAGAAGAAGAAGAAGAGAAAAAAAAGATTTGACACAGATATTCACTCTTTCACATTTAGAGTTGGTAATAATAAAAAAAACACCTACACAGACAGAGAAAAAAGAAAATTGGAAGCATAGATAAATTTTGCAATTAATTCATATTTTGCTTTTTCTTTTCGCACTGAAAAATACTGAATGCTAAACACAATTGATTTTTTTATTCTGGCAAAAAACAAAAGAAAGAAAACAAAATTATTTTTCTATAGAAATAAATAAATATATATATATGTAATTCGTATAGATGAGACAGAATTTCTATATATTAGAATTAAATTGAAAAGAAGGAGAGAGAGAGAGAAAAAAAAAAACAACACAAAGAAAGAAAGAAAAAAAACAAATGAAATATTTTTATTCGGTTTACCACTAGGTCAGATCTTAGTTACTTATCGGTTTAAATTTGAAAAACGACTAGACCATGATTTGTATATATGACTATATTAGTAAATTGATTGAAAATAGAAACTATCATCTGTCGTTTATTTTATTTGCTGATGAACGTCGAAAATTTGATGATGATGAACGTGAACGATTTTTACGATCAGTTCCGACGGAATTTGGTCGGTTTTGTGATTGACTGCTAGCTTTCAAACGTCCAATTTTTATATTTACTTTTCCATGTGGAAGTGTCTGAAAAACAAAAACGTTTTATAAAATATTCAATACATTTTTATCTATTACTTTTAATGTATAGGCAACATGTTCATAAGCTGCATTTCGTAAATCTTGTCCATTTACTTCAAGGATTAAATCACCAGACATTAATCGACCATCTTTTTCTGCACAACCACCTTCAAGCTAAAAGAAAAGGAAAATCATTTTTAAAACAAAAAGAAAAATTTATCTTTCTATTTACAATATGAGAAATAAATACACCAAAACCATGTCGTCGTCCAATAATACTAAATCCTAAAGAAAAGGAAAAGAATTCATAGATTAATTCAAATGATTAATTCAATTTATACCAAGTCCTTTTCCTGATTTTTTAATTAATTCAATTGTAATCACATCAAACTTATCTTGTTCATTCATCATTTCAGTTAACATTTTGCCTCTTAAAACAAGTATACGAACAACAGTTGATGCTTGTCGTAATGCTTGAATGGCTTCTTCATGTGTTGCTGAACGTAAATCAATAGAATTAACTTCAAGAATTTGATCACCAACAAGTAAACGAGCATCACGTTGTGCAGCACAACCATCATAGATATCATGTATAATAATGGCTGTCTAAAAAAATGAAATAAATATATATATAGTTTAATATTTATTAGAATTTTTTTTTATTTTACTAATTGTGTATCTGATCCACCGACAACTGAAAGTCCAAGTCCAGATTGTCCTCGATCAATTTCAATTAATGTTTCTTGTCCAACAAGAACTGATCGTGTACGAGGATCATCTTCTTTGTTAGTTTCATTATCATCTTTAAAAAATAAATTTATAATTAAAAACAAAAAAAGCTTTTTTATTTTTTACTTGTATTTAATAAAGGTAAACTTTCAGTTTGATTTATATTAATAACAACTGGTTGTGCTTGTGGTTCACGATATGGTATGCATGTTAAATGTATTTGATTACTATTTGCATGTTCTAACATATTCTGCACGTCAGTAAATTTTAATGCTTCGACTGATGTTCCATTTATTTGTATGAGATGATCACCAGCACGAATGTCTTGCTAGAATATTAAGAAATAAAATATTTATTTTTTTTTTAAATTTCCCTATAGAAAAATCTATACTTGATCGGCTGGTCCATGTGGTTGAACACTTTGTATCCAAACTTCATTATCATGTTGTGACAATGTTAAACCAAATGAGCCTTTTTGATCCTGAAAATTCATATAGAATAAAAGAATATTTATTAAAAACATAAATAATTAAAGAAAATTATTCTTTGTTTACCTTATTTAATATAAGCGTGATTGGTGGACCAGGTGCAGACATTGACGTACGTCGTACTACTTGTTGTGTTACTGGTAATAAAGATTGTTTTTTAGTTGCATGTTCTGATGATGATGGTGTGGAAACCGAAAGGGATGAAGACGAACTTGAAGACGATGACATATTAGATATACGTGCTGTCAAAGTACCATTGGTTATTGTCGTTATAGGATTTGTTAGTGTGTCACTTGAATTTTCTTCGCTTTTTTCTTTCGTAGGTGATGATACAATGTCATCTGAAGGCAAGATAGTGTCGATCAATTTTTCTTGGTCGTTTGATTGAGTTATTTTAGAAGAATGTGTAGGTGATGTTTCATCTAATAAATAAATAATTCATATATCTTTCTTTCTATTCAAATAGAGAAAAAACAAACCTTTGTTTTGTTGAATTGAATTATGTTTAGGAGAACTTGATATTTGAGTGCTATTTGTTAGACTATCATTGTTGGTTTGATTTTTATTTTCTAAATATTTATCATTTGCATGATTTGCTTGTTCATGCACTAACAAGGGTGATGGAGTTGTTGTTGTTGTTGTTATTAACGATGGGAGTGTTGGTGATGATTCGTTATTTTCATATACACATGATTGTTGATCGAATGATGATGATGATGCTGGAATGAAACGACAAATAGGAGAAGTGACATCCGACGAATTAGAATGAAACTCTGTAGTCGTTGAATGAGTACAAATATTATGATTGAATGATGAAACTTCGTTGTTGTCTGTTTGAACGTCGGGTTTTGTTATTATTCGATTAGGCGACAACGGCGATGATGATGACGTTGGTAAGTCGTCAGCAACTGAGCATTTTTTATCTATGGTGATTGGTGTTATTTGTGGAATAGAACATTTTTTTTCATTCTTATTTGGAATATATTCGGTCTCATCAAATGTATGTGTAGGAGGCGGAAAAACTGATGTCGATGTTAGTCTATCGTCATTTTCTTTATGTTCATTGACATCCGGTTGGTGCCTTGGGATATGAATACGTTGATGAAAATGACTAGCATCGTTTATCATCTGTTGTTCTGACGGATGTTGAATTGATGATGATGTTAGTTGACTTCGTTCTGTTTTTGAAGATGTTGAAGTGAGGTAAGCATCATTAGATGTCATTGCTAATGCCTTAATGATCAAGAAAAAAAAACAACAAACTTATTAATCAATAATAGATTAAGCATACTCGTAGACGTGCTGTTGCTGCATGTTGATTATTTAACGCCATATCATTAATTGAATTAGGATTTCTATTTATAGTAGAAAAAGAAAAAGAAAAAGAAAAGTCAGTATTTTAATTAAAGAAAAAAAAGAAAGAAGAAGTTTATTTTATACCGTAGTACAACAAAATTAAGTGTATCAGCTTTAATAGATCGAATAATTGGTGTTACTGTTGAATGTGCTTTACCCAAAAGAGTTTCTCCGTTAACCTAAATAATATAAATCAATTTTGTTGTTTCTTTGATTTAAAAAAAAGAGCGAGAAAAAAGAAAAATGAAATTATTATTTGTTAATAATATGAACATGTCATAAAGTAAGATTTCTTGATATTTTTATAAAGATGAAAAAATAAATTGGAAAAGGGAATATATGAATAGAGAAAAAAGCGAGTCACGCAATTATTTCGAGAGATTACGGTGTATTGCATTTTGTCCGACTCCGAATATAAATACTCAAGAGAAAAAAGAAATTTCTTTCCTTTTTTTCTTTGCTTTTTTTCCCCTTTTTCATTATTTCTTTTTCCTATTTCTTTGTTTTTTCGGTAGAAAACATCACGCATAATAAAAGGGAATTCACAAAGCGAGTTTTTTTTCCTCAAATGAGATTATAGTCACGCATTAAGTCTCTAAATTAGCAAGCGGAAACGTTCTAGTTTCTTCTTCTTCTTCTTCTTGTTTTTTGTATTGTATACAAGAAAAAACAAAGGCAAAAAGGAATTTATTTTTCTTTACCTCAAGTAATTGATCGCCAGGATGTATACGATTGTCGCGATCAAGAAGTGAATTGGGTTGTATATCACAAACAAAAACAGCTAGTTTATTTGGATCGCGATGTCCAATAAGAGAAAGTCCAAGTGGCTCATTTATTTCTGATAAACTTCGTTTTATATCAAAATAGAAAAGATCACCATTTAAATGTCCAAATTGTTTGATTAATTCATCTTCAGTTTTTCGTTCATTTATAGGTGAATGTTTATTAATCGATGAGATTTTATTTTGTGATGGAGATTGGATGAGTGGAATGTTAGAGTAATCTATTGATGGTAGATCCGGTGTTGATGAACTAGGATTTGATGGATCAAGTAAACTTTGAACAATAAAATGAACAGGTGATTGTGCAGCGCGAATTATATCAACGGCACGATCATGTGAAGCATCACGTAGATCATTTCCATTTACTTCAAGTATACGATCACCTGTTTTTAATGTTCCATTACGTCCAGCTGGTGAATCTGGTAAAACATGTTTTATAAATATACCAGATATACATGATTCAATTGTATTTCCAGGACCAGAAAAATCAAGTTTACCACCAACAATACTTATTCCTAAACTTTTAACATGTTCACTACGATAAAGTATAACTGTTCGTGCTGGTCCCCATAGTGTTGCACTTAATGTTTCACTATCAATAACAGTTGGATATGTTTGTTGATTAGTATTAGAATCGAATATATCAGAATCAACAACTTCATCTGTTGTTGATATAGGTTTTGTTAAAGTTTGTTCGTCATCCAAATCAGCAATTCTAAAAATAAATAAAAAAATATCTCTATGTAATTAACAATTTTTTTGTCTTCTTCGTCTTTTAATTTACTCAGGTGGTATCGGAGAGCCTGTTGAATGTGGATCAAGTGTATGATCTTTAAATTGTTTAGCTTCATCACCCGGAATGAAAATAACACTAGTGGAAAAAAAATGTAGTAGATGATATATTATTTATAAATATATATATATATACCAGATATCTGACCCCATAAGTGAAGCGCGTCGTATAATTGATCGTGCTTGTGCATTGCTTATCTTTTTCATACTTTCATTATTAATTGATAATACATAATCACCTGGTCTTATACCATGTTGATTCGTTGTAGTTGATGTTGGTGTTATCGAACGTACATAACATCCATTAACACCTTCATCAACATAAGCATCAACAACTAAGCCTAAATATAGAAAGATTTATTATTTTTTCTTTTCTTCATTGTAATATTTTTATTTATTACCAAGTTGATCAAAATTTTGTTTGACACGTATTTCACGTTCAAGATAAGCAGGTAATTGTATAACCTCATGATTAAGAAATGTAATAATACGTCCGGAAGACTGTGAACTAGTCGATAGAGCAGGTGATGCCATACGCGACGACTGTCTTGATGAAGTCCATTTAGATGTTATAATTGGTGTCGTCGGTGTTTTGATTCTTGGTGTTATTATACTACTCTTTTCATCATCATTATTATTACCATTTGTTAGTGTTAGTTCATGTTGTTTAATAATAGTATCAACTTCATTTGCATCTTCATCTACAATTGTTGTTGCTGTTGTTGAAGTTGTTAGTGGACATATAACATTGTTTATCGCATGTTGATGTGCTAAAGGAGACGATGATGAAGATGATAATACAATATTATAATTGTTATTATTATTATTATTACTGTGATGGTTGTCGTCACTACTCAAGTCAGGCTATAAAGAAACAAAAAAAAAATAATCAATACACAATGATTTTTTTCCTTCTTCTTCTTCTTCTTCTTGTTCTTCTTGTTCTCCTCCGCCTTCTCCTTCTTCTTTTGCGTCTTCATTTTCCTTTTGCTCTGGTTTCCAATACTGATGATGAAAAAGGGAATAATCGATAAGAAGGACAAAAGGAGATAATGGGTGTTTGCATAGCTCTTGATAAGTCTGTTGTCACAATTCATAAACGGGTTAGTATATGAGAACAGATGAAAAAAACATCTTTACCATGTCTCTTCCGCTTACTAACTTATCTTATTGTTACTACATACATATATATTGCTACTACTACGTTTGCAATAATCCATACTGAATATAAGAACGAAGGTCAATAAGCTTACGATAAAGAAATCAACTAATCTATGTTATTGAAACCAACAAATATAAGTATGCAAGGCTCAATCTGCTAATCATAATTGAATAGAATGCAAACAGATGTATACCGGGAGATCAAAAAAAAAAAAGAAAATCATTCATTTATGCAATTAGCCTAACGGTTTGACGATCATTTCCTTATGTCTCACGATATTAAGTTGTACTTTTTTTGTTTTGTTTTGTTTAGATTCGAATCTCGTTTTTCATTCTATTGCCTCATAATCTTTAGTATCTCAAGGAATGAAAAAGAAAAAAAAAGATGTAAGAAAAAAAAAAAGCTAAAATATGTGCATGCGTGGCACATGAATAATCAGAGCGTGAGACACACATATATAAAGATATACACTAAAGAATAGCGGACGGATGGAAAGACAGAAAAGACCGGGCCAGCTATATAACAACGACAACAAAATATAATTCTTTCTGTCTGCCTTTTTGGCGTAGTACCACAAAAGCGCACACATACTATGTTGCTTTTCTTATTTTCTTTCTTCCCTTCTCCTTCCTTTCTTTTCGTCATTTATAGTCTCATTTTTGTTGTATTCTGCTATCTTTATATAATACTACTAACATTTTCCTTGAAGAATAAAGACGAAAAGAATGACAAATACAAAAAAAAGGTTATAATTGAAAACAACAACTAATATATGAAGCTCAGCATATCTTTTTTTTCCGCAAGACTACACACAAAGAAACAAGTGAATTTATCTAATTCTTTTTCTTTTCTTGTAAAAAAAGAAAATTACAATTATTATAGACGACAAAACAACACGATGTATTTTTTTTTTATATAACAAAATAAACAAAGGCGGAAGAAAAAATGAAATTAACAAGAAAAAAAAGAAACTAAATTTAATTAAAAAGAAGAAAAAAAAATATTAGTATTATATGCCTTACCCCATGATAAACATCATTTGATTTTCCTGAGCAGATAACACATAAACGTAAAATCGAACAAACACGATTATTTAACATTTATTTTGATTCACGATTATAAATATCTAATATCTATACACGTTTCTCGTTCGTCTATTCGATTTTTGTTCCTTTATATATGATTGACTCATTTCGTATATAGATAATGTTGATAAATGAATCGAATCACCTGTATTGTCTACCTGCCGGGTATATCACCGCTATTAGTTACACCTCGTTCTTTCTTTTTCTTCTTCTTCTTCTTCTTTTTATAACCATTCATTTCGAGTTAGTTCGATTTTATTTTAAATGCACATACCACACATAACAGTGGAGAAGAGTCATACAAAAACATCAATCATATTTTGTTAATCGAATCGACATACAACATATAATATGTATTATACTATCATTCTTTTTCCTTTTTATCTTAAGCTACAGTTTGTATATATATATAAATATCTATTTATTTATTAGAAACAATGGATCGATTACAAGATCAATGTTTTTTGATTAAATATAAATGCCAACTAAAATGTTAGCATAACTTTTTCATTCACATCCATATGTTCTTATATATCACATACCTTATTACATTTCTTCATATCTTTATATTTAAAAGCCATGTATTAACTAAATATGTTTTTTGTTAATAACGAAATGTATATGCATAGACATGTATATGCATATATATAGATAGACAAGAAAACAACTATTATAGTAGATAAAAATCAAGATGTAATCAGCGCCGAAAAAAGCATCCAAAAGCTGCAGGAAATATCGAACAAGAAAAAAAAGATTGTATTCTACAGTATTGATTAATCTGAGCAAGAAATAGAAATGGATATCTATTATAGAATCGAAGCAAAAAGAAGATTGTCTCTAGCATTTTAATCAATATAGATCCGTTATTAGATCGACCATACTACTGTGTCTCATTGTGATTGCTCAAATGTCAAAAGTGTTCTGTTTTGTTCTATTTCAGTATGTGTGTGTGCTCTCAAAAAATGCTGATTGCTCTTTCCTTTCGTCACTATTATTTTCTATCTTTTAGTTTAGTATTAATTCTCGTCACCGTTATTATTGCAGCTACATTAATCTTTTTTTCTATAACTAGTACTTCAACCATAAGCATCAATATTCTCCACAATAATCAAATTTTATTCGATGCATATATATATATATATATACACATACATATGCGCATTCGTTCTCTCGTCATTTTTTCCCCTTAAGCAGTCACTGTTATTTGCTTAGACAAGTGAGTTTGAAAAAAAAATCACTAATCTACTCACTTCATGAAAACATCCTTTTGAATCAAGTATATTCATCGTTTGTCGCAATGATGTTGGTCTTGAAATATGCGTTTGTTGTTGTTGATGATCATGATTATTATTATTATTATTATTATTTGTCTCCTGTATTTGACGAGAACGAGACAAACGTTTTGCTGATGTATAACTGGAACGTGGTGAACCTCCTCCACTTAGATTGGCTGTTGTTGCTGTTGTTTGAGAGTTTATATTGTTATTATTTGCTGATTGTCGATTAAATTTAGTTGTGGAAAAAGCAGATGGACCTCGTAAACGATCATAAGATGGATATGAAGCTATCTGTGGTATAAGAACAATATGATCTGACTGAAAGCATAAAAATTCAGGTAAATTCAATGTTATTTTTGTCGATAATTGTTGTGTTGTTGTTATTGTATGAGATTTTTTTCTTGGTAATAAATCAAGATATTCTTCGAGGTTTAATTGTCGAACTTTGTCTTTAAGAATTGCTGTTTTATCTAATGATGAATATTTTGTAAAAATTTTGTCACGATTATATGTACGATTTGCACTTGATGCACGTTGTTCGGTTTTTTTTCTCATATTTTCTTGATTTAATAATGATTCCATATATTCATGTTTACTAAGTATAGCTGGAGCTGATAAAGCAATGCCAGCTGAAACAGCTGCTTGTTTTATTGATGGCGAACGTGAAGGACGATGACTTGAGGCAGAACGCTAAAATGAATAAATCGATTGTTTTTTAACATAGAAAAATAGTCATAGAGAGAAAAAAAAAGAAAAAAACGTAGTAAATAAAAAATCTGAATTTAGATGAATGTTAATAGAGTTAGTTGTTTGTTTGAACGGTTAATATGATTAAGCAAAAAAATAGAGTAAAACAAAGAATAGATATTCATATTAACATAATCTGATTAGTTTAGTAGTATATTTCTGACATAAGCTTGATTGTATATTCCGCATATATATTTTCAATGCAAATATTTTTTTCGTAAGTATTTACAATTGTATATGTGTGTGTTTTTTCTTCCGTAGATGAACTAAAATTTAAATTTATTATGTCAAGTCTGATTATAGTCATATATAATAATTGATTGTAGATGATTATCATTAAATATTCTATCTAATTAAAATATCAACGATTGAATTAGATATGTACAATCATATCTACCTATCTATTATAAAGATACTATCAATAATAATCCGCGCACATTTTTTTCTTTTCTCTCTCTAGGAATATAATTAACAAAAAATTGTAAGTTTTTAATTTTGTTTTTAAGAGAATAGGATTATTTTAGCTAAGCATAAATCTTATTATGTTATTCTTTTGTTAAAAAAAAATAGAAAGTCATTTCGATCTATTTTATCTACATCAAATTTGACTTATAATACTGCATTTTGCTAAGTATGATGAGAATATCTATACAAATGATATGCTAAAATTAGAAAGTAATTATATAAGCATATACGAACATATATATTTTTCTTCTTGCTTGTAGCTAATGCATTCTAATTTGATATACTGCTGTAATATTCCTAACAACACGAGTAATCGATTATATGTTATTGATGATTTCTCGTACCAATCTATTCTATCAGTTATATAAAATCTACTTATCATGCTTGAATCAAAATACGAATGAGCATATGCGTAAAAGAAAAATATACTTTTAGATGATGATTATTTCAGCTGTTATCAAAGAAAAAACTCATTTTTTATGCTTTATCAATAGAATTCTTACATATGTCGAGATAAATCTTTATGTACATGACAAATAGCTATAGAGTAAATTTACTGAAATATTAATAGAGTTCTTCTAAGAAATATTTCATATTTATTTTGTTTATGATTTTTAATAAAAACCTTTTCATTTATTATAATAATAATAATAAATGAGTTACAGGAAATAAGGTATTCATTTCTGCTATATGATTTTTAACAAGAAATATCAACCTCATTTAGTTTTTTTTTACAGTACATTACTTCTTATTTTTTTTCCGTCGTAACACAGAAATAAATTGAGAAAAATATCTAATCAGTTTTCTTAAAGAAGAAGAAGAAGAAAAACAAAACAACTGAATAACTCTTCTATTAATTATATCATAAAAATAATTCATTGATGCTTTGATCTAAAAATAGTTTTTCTATTTCTGACTCATCAAAAAAAAAAAGGAAAAGAATTTTTTTTCATTAAATCTTATAGAATAAAAATATATACCTTATGGTTAGTTACAATTTCAGTTGATGTTTTACTTTTACTAAGACGTGATGAACGTTCATTTATTTGATTATTATTTATATCTTGATCACTATCAGTTACAATTTTATCATCATTATCATTTTTAAATTTTGGATAGGGTAATGGTTTCGATACACTTAATTTAACTGGACCTTTTGCTGTAGATTTTAATATTTTAATAACATCATCTAATGTCATATTCTCAAGAGTTATATCATTAACAGCAACTAAACGATCTCCTGGTACAATTCGTCCATCTAATTGTGTAATACCACCAGGAACTAATGATCGTATAACAATAACAGGTGAATCACTAGGATTTGATGGATCTTGATAATCGAGAACAGAAAAACCAAGACCATTATCACCTTTATCTAATTCAACATCCATTGTTGATGTTGACCATAAAGCTAAATTAGAAATAACTTCTAATGAACGAGATTTAATATATTTTATAGGTCGTTTAATTGATGAAAGAAGATTTATGGATCCATCTGTTCCATCTAATGTTCCCATACTTTTAGCTTTAACAACAATTTCAGCTGTTTTACCAAATGATATCGAACGAGAACGATTATGATTATTAGTTAATATTGTTGTTTCAGTTTTTTCAGATATTTTACGACGAGCACAAACAAGTTTTATTTGATGTTTAACACGTTTAAGAATTTCAATAACATGTATATGATTTTTTCCATATAATATTTGATTATTAACCTTAGAAGAAGAAGAAGAAGAAAAAAAAGAAAAGATATACTATTAAGATTTTTTCGAGAATTGAATTTCCTTTACTTCTAATAATTCATCACCGGATTTTAATGTTCCTTCTGTTCCAATAGGTCCATCACGTAATAATGCTCGTATATAATGATGTGGTCGAACTTCTTCACCATTTTCAATATCAACTGTTCCTTCAAGTGTTATTCCTAAACCACCATTATCAGGTTTATAAACATCAGCAATTAAGATTTCATAAGCATTGCCTAAAAATTTTATCCATTTTTGATGCATCTGCTCATTTATATCTAATTGAGATTGAAATTTTAATTTTTCATCGATTTGATGTGCTGATTCAAGAGCTTAATAGAGAGAAATAGTATAATATATATATATAGTTAGAGTTAAATTAGAATTTTTACCAATCATTTCTTTTATTTTTTCATATTTAGTACCATCAAGATGACGTCGAACTTTCAATCGTACAGATGAACTTGTATTTTGTAATAAATAAAGGGCTTGAACATTTGAAAAACCACTGAGTGATTGGTCATTAACTTCGACAATTTGATCACCTATTGCTAAGCGAGCATCACGTGCACATACACTATTTTCTGTTATATCACGAATAAATATACCAGCTATAGCATCTAAGAACAACAACAAAATCAACCATTTTTTTCTTTTGATAAAAACTAGATATGATAAAATACGCTAACTTTGTCTCCCCATTAGTCGTTTTATCTGTGAAGAGTACTTAAATTCTATCATAGAAATTACTTTCTCAAATATATATAGTTAGACAGAAAAAGGAATACAAATGATAAATGATGCAAACAACAGACAGTAACTCTCGGTTTCTTTTTCATCTCATGTAATAATCTTCAGATCAAGAAAAAGAAAAAAAGGCTCACAATTTTTTTTAATTAATCTAACGTCAGATAAATAATAAGAACTTCGTAGTCTTTATTGAATCCTTTGTAGAAATAATTAGCTTGTATGTGTATACAACATAAAAAAAGAAAACTTCCTGGTTTCTTTTCTTTCTCTTTCTCTTTCTCTCTTCTTTTTGATAGTTCATGTAATCTGTTAAATTAAGTTTGCTTATAACGCCTATTTCTTCGAATTAATAACTAGGTATATATAAGTAAGGAGAAAAAGAAAACTATTTTACCATTATTTGTTGAATCCGGACTGACATAACCAGCTACAGTAATACCTAAACCATCATCACCTTTTTCCAATGTCACATCCAGTATTTCTGTACCGTCTTCGTTTTGACACTAAATATATATATAAACGTGACTATGAGATATTTAACTAGTTAGAAGCAGAAGAAAAAAAACGAGAAAAAATGAGCAAGTTGTAGGAGAGTCTTTACAAAGTATTAGAAACTGGTAATACTTCCTAATACTCGATCATAAAGAATGCGAGAAAAAAAGAAAAAAAATTCTCGAGATTAACAATCGTCAATCGACTCATACTTGTCTTGGTTTTTCTAATAGAATCAACGGCATACACACGCACATTCACTAGTGTAACTGCCTGTTTCTTTTTCTCCCTCTCCCTCTCTCTCTCTCCCATTCACTGCCTTCTCTTTTCTTACTACTATGACTACTAGAGCAACCTGTCATAGTTGTGTTCTGTGTAAAGACTCTTGAGTCGAGAAGTCGACGAGAATGATGAAGGGTAAAAAGAAGAAAGTGCCCAAGGGATCTGAAGGATAGATGAAAAAAAGAGAAAAGGATGCTGAATAGAGGAGAGAGAGAAAAAAATGTGTTACAGGAAAGTGAGAAAAGATGCCACACGTACACATCTATTCCCGCTTTTCGAGATAATTAATCGTTCTCTTTTTTCTTCCTGTTTCACATTGTCAATAATAGAAAAAAAACTAGAAAAACGGACCTGTTCATGGAGATTTTCAAGAATTTTTTCAAAACTATGATTGCTTTCAAGTAATCGTTCTGTACGAAGTAGAATTTTATTTTGTGAACTATTTAACGTTGTATCATTATCATTAATTATTGGTATAGATGATCCTGTTAATGATAAATCAACATTATTTGTCGGTCGAATTAGTGTTTCCGATGTTAATGATGCACGTTGTGACACTAATGGAGGTGTATTCATTGTTGTATCAATTGATGTTGGTTCACGTATACTTCGTGCAACAACAAGACGTACTTGTTGAGGACTTTGTCGAAGTATACTAGCTACTTGTTCAGAACTCATACCACGTACACATATATGATTTATTTGAAATATATGATCACCCGTACGGATACGGCCATCCTACATAGAAAATGACATAATAATAGATATTATAAAATAATATTTGGTGCATTCCTTATCAGATTGGTAGTATATATGAGGCGAGTGGCTCTATGTCTATCTCGTCCGTGTTATTTTCTTTTCTTCATTCTTCTTCTTCTTCTCCTCATTTTCTATAAGGATATATATATACATACTGACTGTCATTCATTAGGCAAATTTATTTTCTTTCTTTCTCTCGGTGTCTTGTAGGTTTTTCTATGCCTTTTTTTTTCTTCGTCTTCTTCTTCATCATCGTCTTCTCCTTCACTTCGGCATCATCTTTTTTTTTCCCTGTTTGTATATTGTCTTTTGTTCGATCGATTGGAAAAAAACAGCTGGAAGGGTAGAAATACGCGTTAGTATCACAAACACCCATATAATACGATTAAATCGATATTACCTTATCAACAGTCGAGCCAGGCACTATTGCTTTAACAACAACACCCGTCGACTTATTACCAGTAATACCAAAACCAAGGCCGGATCCGTCGTTCGTTAGTTCAACAACTTCAATTTGTGTCCACAATGTATTTAGCTAAATAAAATCAACATATATTTAATATAAATATGTATATTATACATATATCTATTTATTTATCTATCCTATCAATCATCATCTTACCACCATGTCGACGTGAAAAGGCGTCGACAATGTCGGAACACAGCTGTGTCCGTCGTTGTTAGACGTTGACACAGCCGCATGAGGATAATCAAAAGTTGTAGAAATAACAACAAGTTCTATAGATAATCGTGTTGAATCGTTAAGAAGTTGATGAGCACGAAATGCAAGTGTTGTATCTTTTGAATTTAAATAAATATCGTTGATACACACTATTTGATCGCCTATTTGTAGTTGACCATTTCTAAAAGAAAAAAAAAACGATCAAAATCTATATTCAAATCCATATAAAATATACACACATCATGAGAAACAATCTCGACTTCTCGTTCAAAAATCCACAATAGATTGCCAAGAGGGATAGATGAATAAGGAACAAAAAAGGAAGGGGAGCACTATTCTATCATTATAGTCCATCAATGTCTTATATAATCTAATTTTCATAACAAAATATCTTTTGTTAGAGTGCACACAAGCCAACAACAGACATAGTTGTTATCATTATTGTTATAAGATTATCGCTAAGATCTAAATGTTAAAGCAACATGTTTAGTATACTATTTATCTTAGTGATCTTTAGAAAAGTATATGCCTATTCAGTTATTCTTTTTGATATAATAGTAATAATAATAATAATAATAATGATAAGAACAAGATCAATAAGTCTTACTTGACTGTTGATAAAAATTCTTTTTTTCTTATATATTCTTTTACATTATAAAACCTATTAAATAAGGTGTATTAGTAGATTTCATATTAAAAAGACCTTTTTTTCTATTTCCTGTTCATGATGATCATGACGATGATGTTAATGATGATGATGATAATGATCTATTCCTTCCGTTTTTTTTTCTTATTTCTTTTCTTTTTATATTCAACGAGTTTATCCTTTGTGACAATAGTTCATGATCTCTCGAGACCTGCACAAGACGATTGATTCCTTCTTTTTCATTTACATATATATATATATATATTTATATAAACATACCGAAGAAGAAAAAAAAGTGTTGTCGACTTTTCTTATTTTTTTTTCTCGGTTTCTTTGTTTAATAGATGCTACTTAAAGTGAAATATATTCATGATCTAGAAAAATTTTTTCTTCCCGATCGATTCTTAAAGCTAAGTTGTCAATGTATATTTTTCTTTTTTTTTCTTGGCTTTTTTGTGCGTGCCGACAACTGTCAAGAATAGCAGAACGTACAGCATACAACACGCTAAGAAAAGTAACAAATGGAATGAGATGTTTGTTACTCTGTATGCGTTCTTTTATCAGGAAAAAATTGACGCGACAACGCGATAGGAATTATTTGTAAATCATCTCTTTTTGCGTTTCCTTATGGTAAAAGAAAAATAGAAAATATAGCTCGATATTATCATTGAAGGTCATGACTGAAGAAAATATAGGAGAGAAAGTGTTTAGTCAATAAGATCTTTTTTTTTTCTTCTTCTTAGTTTTGAAAAAAAAAAGAAGAAATACAAATAATTAAGAGTTTTATTTGTCTTATTAACATCAATTTGATTAGAAAAATATATTGATGACGTCAACATAATATTGATCAATTCGATATTCGATTAGATCTTTTTTCAAATATTTGGATATAAAACAGATCATTGATCTCTGCTGACAGGAATCCCACGAGAAAGAAAAATAAAACCAAGAAAATTAGGTAAATAATCAAGAGTATGAAAAAATGAAACTGATGGTATCATTGGAAAAAGAAGAACTTACAATTCAGTAATACCATTCGATTGAATACCTTCGATAAAGATCGCATTAATATCAAATAAACGATGTTTTTTTTCGATTATACTAAAACCTAATGATTCGTCAGGTGTTTGTTTAGTTAAGATAATTTTTCGAAGAATATTATCATTCGCTAAACGTTTATTATTTTTAATATCTAAACAAATTTTTATATATTATATTATAGAAAAGAAAAAGTCTATTAGCTAAATTATTACTTTGATTTGTTATTTTCTTGCTAATAAATTTTAAATGGCCTTCAAGATCAAAATCAAATGAACAATCTTTTATTGAAGGATTTCCTTTTTCAAATTCAACTTTTAATTGTTGAAATGATTCCTGTAAATTGTATAATGTATTAAATAATGGACTGTCAATTATTTGTTGTAGTGAGTCTATATCAGGTTGTTGACAATTGCTATATTGATACAATCGTTCACTCAATCTTTTTAATATTGTACTGGCTTCTATAGAAATATAATGAAGTATTATATTCAAATTAATCAAGGGTGTGTTTACCGCATAGTTGAGCCATGATAATAAAAATAGATAATGAACGGAATTCATGACCCGAATTCTTTATTGATAAATATTATGATGCTTCTGTGTCCTTTCTAGAATAGATGAAGGAGACGTAGCAGACAGAAAATCGATGATGATGAGTATGATGATGATGACGACGACAACGACAACGACGACGACGATAAGCTCTCCAGAAAAAAAGGAAGAAATGATGCTCTAGAACTACAAACGATCGATCGATCGATCGATCGATTGGATTTGTTTATGTTCCTTTTTCTCCTTTCTTTTCCTGTTTTTCCATCTTATTTTGTCGTTCAAACAAATATTATTGGAGTATAACATACAACAAATGACTGAAAAGCGCTACAATCTAAAAAAAGAAAAACGATTAATAGCTTAATGGTTTTTCAAGTAACACAATGTATGAATAGATCAAGAATAATAGTAATTCATTTAGAAATTTTTAACACTTGTTAATCAAATGAATGGGATATAAATTATTCAATTTACTTGATAATGAATATATATATGTTTTTTATTTTTATCAAATAATGTATATTCTTGTTCGTGATTCTCATTCGTAAAGCTAGAACTATTGCTCAAAATAAATCTAATTAGTTTTTTTTTCTTCTATATTGTCAAATTTATCTGAGTAGATTCAATCAAAAATTTATGACTGATCATTCGATTTTGGTGCGTTATTGTCTGATGGATTAATTGATATATACGAAGAAAAACAAAACAAAAATATATTATTATTCAATTAATTAATTAGGTAAATTTCATCGTTTTTTCTTTACTTACATTTTATTTTATCATTCCATACCTGAAAATATTTCATAATGGTAAATTCTTGGAAATTATATAAAGTGTTAGCTCAAGGTCAAAATAAAAAATTTATATATATATGATGAAGATTGTTAATCCAATTTAGCAGATTCTATAGATGTCAGAGAATTGGTTTTCATGTCTTGTGAATATTTCTATTGAGTTTTAATTAATCAATGTGAGTATGTTGTAAACGATGACATGTCAGTTTTTGAATATTAGTTTTAGATGTGAGATTAGGTTATTACTTCGTTTTAGTTTTTTTCTCTTCTGAGACAATATATATAAATATATTTTAATCAAATATTGAATATAATTGTAAAGAAGACTTTTTTTTTATCGGTATCTTAAATTTTCAATAGCTTTTGAATTGATTACTACTTATTTAATGCATTATATATTTTTTACTTTTTTTTATAGTATAGAAATTTATAAGTGCGAATAGAAAATAATAGAAAAATCGAGTATGTTACTTTTTTTAGAATTATTGAGATTCTAAATAGAATTCTTATTTCTCAAGAGAAAACCCTATTTTAGACTTAATCACGAACTACGGTCGATAGATTGCAAAAAAAGAAGAAAAAGTATTTCTTTATAGATATTATTTATGTTTGATTAGAAATAGTACTGCTTAAACTATTTGTTTATAGTTTCAGTATATATTTATATATTAATAAATAATTTTTAAAGTAGAAGATAAAAAAATGCATAATTTATCCTCTTAGCTATTTTGAAGAAAAAGAAAGATTACTTCTTTTTATCATAGACTTATTTTTTTAGCAATAGATTCTTCAATCACTAAATCAGATATGGTTCGTCATGTGTTATGAACTTGTCAATAATTAAGATCGATGTTTTCATACTATCAAACTTGTTAAAAATCAAGAAAATGTATTGTCTATCAATATTAATGATTATATATTGCCGTATTCTGAATATTAAAATACAATGATATGATTTAATGATGATGAATTTATCTGTTTTTTTATTATAACATTTTTGATTGATTAACTCTATAAGATGGATATTGAAAACAAACATGTGAGGCGTGGTTCTCCGATGAAATGTGTTGCGTGTAGATGATCCTGCCTACCACAGTCGATCATATTTATTGAAATCAGTTGGTTTATATGGATGACAATGAATAAAGACAAACTGTCCACACATGGAATCTTGACAAGAGAAAAGCCAACGCAAGGTAAAATCTTTCACATATATGAATATATATTTATGATAGGAATAAAGAAAAATACCAAAAGGACAAAAGATAAGAATGACAATATATGAGAGAGATAACCTGGGCAGACAAGAAACGAAAAATACGGCGTTTCTACGCGTAAGAATGTACGCTTTTTACACTTAGAGAAAAATTCTTTTTCAGTAGAAAAAGTCGAGCTACTAACAACAAAAGGAGTCTTCATCATTTTGCTACCAAAACGTTTTTTTTTCATCGCGTAAAACGCGCACATTTTTACGCGTAGAAACGCCGTATTTTTCGTTCCTTGTCTGCTCGGGAAGGACAACACATTACTATCTAGCAAAACTTCTCTTGGTTTTTTCCTATTTAAAGTTGGAAAAATCCAAATGAATTTGAGTATTAAAAAACACATATTTATATAACTCAATATTTATTTCAAAATCATTGTTGTCTTATTAAATAATGTCTTTAGACTCATCAAAGATTAATAAAAAAGATGAACCTATATTATGTTTTGGTTGTAGAGATAAATTAGAAGAAAATCATGCAGGTAAACAAATATCACATGACTTATAACTATTAAATATTAAAAAATTAATCTTTCTTAGGTATTCAATGTGCACAAGGTCATCATTTATGTATGCCATGTTCAGCAAATTTAGTAGCAATGTGTATTGCTGAACCAAATATAAATCTTCCACCACGATGCATGGTTTGTTAAACAAAATATTTATTAAACTTATTAAAGAGTTGGTTTTCCTTTTTGTTTGTCAATAGGTATGTAAAATTGAACTAAATTCATCAGTTTTTGAACGACAACTCAAACCTGAACAGTTTGTCCAATATACAAATATTATGTTGAGTCTTTCGTGGTCAAAAGATATTTTAAAAGATAATGAGGAACTTATTTATTGTGGTATAATTTTAAAATAAACTATTTTTATTTACCGATCTGTTGTTTTTTTGATTCTAGCATTTTGTTCGTATGTAGAAATTCGAGTTAAATCACCTGGTGCTCAATTTATGTTTTGTAAACATCAAGGTTGCGGGAAAACGTTAGTAAAAATAACGTATAGATAAAGTTGTCGTTTAGATAATTATATTTAGGTCATGTTTGATTTGTTTACATAAAGTAACAATGTTAGAAGAAAATTATGATGACATTGACGATGAAGAATATGAAGAATATGAAAATAATATAGTAAAAAAACAGTATATGTCTTTTTTACTATATGAAATCTTATTATTTGTAGGAAGAAATTGAAAAACATTTTAAATGTGCAGAACTTGGAGAAGCAAAAAAGATTGTTGAAATGGCTATTGAAAATGGTCAGAAAGTACCCTGTCCTGAATGTGGTTTAGCTGGTAAATGAAATTTATTCATAGTTATTTTCTAATAATTTTTTCTATTTTTAGGTATGAAGGTATATTTAATCAAATGTTATTATAATGATTACTTAAAATATGTATTTTAGGATGATGCATGTACACACATGACTTGTCCAGAATGTCAAACATATTGGTGTTATTTTTGTGGATTAAAAGAAATTGATTGTGATAAAAGTATATCTGCATCTACAACGGAATCAGTAATACCGATATATCGACATAATGAAAGTTGGGAAATAAATCCTAAACGGTTAGTTTATTCAATGAGAAATAAATCATTTTTTTTAAACCAATTTTTATTTAGTTGCCCGATGTATTTAACTGCTGTTTGTGATATTGATGATAATTGGCCTGGTGATGAAAATGAATGTCTGGAATATTTTCATCGTATTCGTTCTCTTAAATTTCTTCGTCAAGTATATGAACAATTAGGAGCGGAAGTTATCGAACAACTTAATGAACGATTTGGTACTATTGATGCAAGTGGTTTTGCTTTAGATGATATTCGATATGAAGATCTTACCTTAATTAATTATGGTTTGTGAAAAAAATACGGTCTATTTAAAATTTTTTGATTTATTTTAGACAATCATGATGATATGTCAGACGAAGAAAATGAATGCAATATTGATATGCGAACAGCTGATAATACCTTAGACGAAGAAAATGAATACAATGGTGATATACCGACAGCTGATAATGAAATTTATATAGTATTGGACTAGTTTTTTGTTTTTTATATTTTTGACTTTGTTATTTACAAGATTAAACATGATTTTTTTTGTAATAAATTTATAAATAAAATAATCTCGAAAGAATTCTTTATTATTACTATGTCTTTTAGAAACTATGAATGCTATTCGTGTGCAAATACATTTAAAATATTTCTGTGATGAAAATTCATCAAAACAATTTCATAATTTTTGGTATGCGTTTGAACCATCGAAATTATTGACTGTTAAAGATATTCTTGAGGATATTCAATTAAATTATTTGAAAGATCAAGAAAAATGTGATGAACGAACATTTATTATTCATCTCGATGAATGTCAATTATTACCATTTACTTCAAGTCAAATTTTACGTGATAATGATCGATTAATGTAAGCGAAAACTAATATTATTTAATTTTTATTAATCAATTTTTCTATTATTTAGTCTTATGCCATTAACAGCACATAAACTACATCAAAAATCATTTCAAGATTCAATTAATTTTAATATATCCTCATCTACTGCAATCGAACCATCAGTGATCAAAGCGGATAATAATCATAAACAACGACAAGATTTAGAATCTACTAGACAAGATATGTTAACAGAATCAATAATTGCAATCGAACCATCAATGATTACATCGGAAGATAATCACAAACGACGACAACGTCTAGAATCTAATGAACAAAGTATGTCAACAGAATCAACAATTACAATTATACCATCGATTATTAAATCGGAAAATAATCATAAACGACGACAACGTTTAGAATCTAATGAACAAAGTATGTCGACAGAATCAACAATCACAATTATACCATCGGTTGAAATTGTCAATGAACAACCACGTAAAAAGAAAACAAAGGAGAAATCAAGTGCAGATCAAGTCATTAATATACCCATTATTCAATGTATACCGGAACCACCAGTAACACAATCTAAATCACCGGTAGTACAAATATCAAAAGAACCAATTATTGAAAAAGAAATAAATTCAGAATCCCCATTATCATTACCATCAACTAATGGTTATATTCGTGAATTAAAATCGAAAACACCAGCATGGAAAGCACAAAAACCTTTACCTAAAGGAAATGTTAAAGGTAATATTTCTCATTTCTTTTTCTTATTTAATCATTTATTTTCATAGACAAATCACATGTACGATTCGATTCTGATAGTGATGATGAATCTTTATCACAAACGTCAGATAAAATCGAAGAAATAAGTACATCAACTATAACTGAAGAAATGAATACATCAAATACAATCGAAGAGAAAAATACATCAAATATAAATGAAGAAAAAGATACAACAAACCCATTACCATTGGTTAATGGTAGTAATAGTTCAGTTCGTATACAATACATTCCAACACCAGTCGCAACAGATGTGATTAAAGATTCTACGAAAACAAATAACAATAACAATAACAAGAAGAAAACTATTGATCTTCTTTTCGAAATGAAACAACATAAAACTGTTGAAGAAAATCAAGCTAAAAAAATTCGACAACAATTAGGTAAAAAACGTGCACAACATAAAAAACGAGCATTAGAATATATGTCAATGGCAAATTTTGTTGATCAAGCGTTTGGTCTTGATAAAAATGATCTTGAAAATCAAATAGCATCAAATGGAAATCATTCTTCATCTTCTTCTCCACAAGTAAATATAGAAATTAATATTTAAAAAAAAATACAAAAAAAAGAAACTTTTTCTTTTTGTTTCAAAGACTCTACCAACCTCATTTAATAAATTAGCTCGTTTACCACTTGTTGCTGAAGCTATTGAAAATAATGAAAAAATATATGATCTCTACCCTCCAATAACACAATGTCCAACAATTCAAACACGTATAGCTTTTAAATTACTTGAATTAAGTGAAGATTTTTGTCCAAAAATGTCAGAATTTAAAGAAGGAACAGTAATTGATGTGAATGAAACAACCGGTGAATTAACTATACAACTTGATAAACCATTACAATCAGCTTTTAATCAACCATCAAAATTCTATGCACCATCAGATGAATTATTAGAACAACAAGAAGAAGAATCAACAACAGTAAATTTTATTTCTTAATTTAACAAATTATTTATAATATCTGTTCATTTTAGGTTATTCTACCATTTTCCGATCTAAATTCGGTTCGATTAATATCATCATAATCTTCATTTAGATCTAGTCATATAAATTTTGTGTCTTTCTGATTAAACTTTGATAATAAAATAAAATCCATGTAATCCTATTTGTCATCAATGAATCAACTTGACTTTTCTATAGATTTGCATACGTATTACACAAGTATAATTTATTTTTATTGATTTTAACTGTTTGTTATCATCACAATAGAACGAAGTAATTTCTATTACTTCAAATGCATAGAAAAAGAAAAAAATTAAATTGTTTTTCATAGTTTTCTCAATCTTCTTTTGTTTTTAATTTTAATAACATATATATACATGAAATAAAGAAAAAAAAGCGATAACTAAGGTAACAGACATGCAAATTCAAGCATCTGTGTTGATTTTTATATTCTCTTTTTTCTTTCTGTATGCAATGTCTTCTTCACTTAGTTTGTTAGTTTCTTCTTTTCAACAAAAAACACAGTCTGCTTTCTTTATTATAACTACATACACACATGCAAACGTAGTTACTCTCGAAGGAGTATAAAACGGGGAGAAGAAAGATTTATCAAAACAACACAAGTAGAAATGTGTAATGAAAGAGAACATACAAAAAAAAATTTTCTTTTTTTTTTCAAGCGAAGAACTTGTAAATACACAATGCCAACACAAGAATGACAAAATAAGTGAAAGTGAAAGAGAGACAGAGACACAGAAAAGAAATTACTGCTGAAGGTAAGACATACAAAAAAAAAGTGAACAACTCAACACCATCACTACATTCAAACATAAAATTTTGTCATTGAATTGAAGTAGAAATTTGTTTGAAATTTGATAGATTTAAAAGAATGAGAAATGAAAAAACGAAGAAGAAAAAAAACTGAGATTGCAATATAAAATTAATTTTCATTTTTTATAGACTGATTATTATGTTATAAAAATTTGTAAACATTTACTTGACAACGCTGATCGAGTGAGTGTGAAAAAAGACATTATGGCTCATATAGCTCTTAATAATAATGGTAATAATACAACACCATTTATGGATCGATTATCACATGCTGTTATTAAGGAAACATCCAAAAACTTGTAAGTCTTTCTATTTTTATCTTGTTGCTAATATAATTTCATTATATTGTTTTGTCTTCCTCCTCCTCTAGAAAACATTATATGGATGTAAAGCGTCGTGAAAATGCTTTTATTCTTAATCCAAATTCTTCTGCATTAGATCCTGTACCGAGCAAAGCTGTAAGTCAAATTATAAAATAATTTACTTAATATTTTTTCTTTATTCTTTCAGCGATATATGTACGGAACAACAAAAGAATATCCACCACCTTACGGTTCTTCTTATTCTGATAATGATATTAAAATTTATATGCGTAGTTTTCAACAACAAAGAAAACAAATTAATGTAATTTTATTTTTTATTTTTATATTTATAATAACACTATATTAATATTTATTAGCCAACAGTAAATACTCCAGAAAAACGGATGTGTCGTCAAGAACTTACTTTTCACATGCGTCCAAATAGATCTTCAGTAAATATTTCAAAGAAATTTTAATAGTATTCTAATATATGTTTCTAGTCAAAAGAAAATCAAAAATTTGCTGAACTCAATTTAAGACCATCGGTACGAGCAAGTTCAGCATGTAGTGCGTAAGTTATTTTATTGATTAAATAATTAATAATAATAACATATCCTATTTCAAATATAAAATTAGAACAAATACTCGAGAATTTCGAAGAGACATACCTAAGCCTGCATTTAAACTATCACGTGTTGAACAAAATCGATTAATTGATAATACAGCAAATATTCTTGCAACAATGATTAATACACGACGATCAATATATGAAACAAGTTTCTTATCACAACAAGTAAAAAAAATAAAATTTTCATTAAAAAAATCTCTAAATAATTTAAATAAATTTAGATGCCACATACATACGTTTCGCGAAATACAAATCCATCTCCACGTCCAATAGAGTAAAAATATTAATTAAAATCTTATTAAAATTCTATTTTGATATTTTCTAGTGAACAATCTAATATACAATCGGTTTTACCATCTGTATCACGTTTATCAATTGATTCAGGAGCTTCAATAAATAATCAACAACCTGTAAAACAAAAACGTAAAACTAAAAATCCTGTTGAAAAAGCACGATCAATTGTAAGTATTTAAAATAACCAAAATCAAATTCATACAAATCTTATATTTATTAAAGATGAATAAAGCAAAACCAATTAGTAAAGCAATTCTTTGTGAATATAAAGTTTCAATTACAACAGGAAATTGTAATGGTGCTTCAACAGATGCACCTATAAGTATTCAATTTTATGGAACAAATGGATATACACCATCTCTTAATCTTATCAATTCTGAAAACCATCGAATATCATTTCAAAAAGATCAAACTGATATTTTTACAATTCAAACATATCATGTTGGACAATTAGCTGGAATTAGAATTGGACATGATCAAAAAGATATACGTAAGAAATATTTATTAATTTTTTTAAATCTATACATTTTTGTTTTCAGAATCAGCTTGGTTTTTAAATAAAGTATTGATTTTTGATCCAATTCGTGAAATAACTTCTGACATAACGTGCAATGCTTGGCTATCGAGTAAATCAAATGATCAAAAGACTATGCGTGATTTTCCAGTTAATTCAATGGTATCACATAGAGAACAGATCGATTCTGACGGTATGAAAAATCTTTATATTTGTTTTCTAATCCAAATGTTCTTTAAAATTAGAGATTTAGTTTTGTTTTTTTTTCCAAAAATTAATTCTATAGAATTTATTTTAGAACATCGAGAATTTGTCGATAGTCAATCAGATTTTTCGACAACAACTGAGCTTACAACAACATCTAACAGTACAAATCGAAGTCAAGACAATCAATTAATAAAACATAAACGAACTAAAAAACATCATAAACAACGTCGTGTATCAATTGGTCCAACAACAGTTGCGAAAAGGTCAACACCACCAACTACACATACAAATCATTCGTCTCAAACACCACCTGTAACTAAAAATGAATCTCCTCCTTCTTCTCCTCCTTCAATGGTTCCAAAACGTCGAGTTCCTTCACCAATTATTTTATCAACATCCTCTTCAGATACTGAAATTGAAGAGGCTGCTGCTAATCGTAGTAGTTCATCGAGTGCAACAACAACACCAACATTTGATAAATCTGATATAAAACGTACTAGTGCTCATAAAATATCACCAACAACAAATGATACATTTACACAAGATTTAGTTGATTATGGTCGACCAGCAGCTCGATTAGAAAAACATCATTCACCAATACCTGTTTCACATAAATCGCCAATCAAAAATAAAGAAAAAGAAGGAGATGACTTCTTTGATTAAACTGTTTTTCTTATATAATTCTCTAGAACATATTTTCTTTCTTTTTTCTGCTTTGAAATATATAAAAGACATTTTTTTATATTCATCCAAGAATTATCTCTTGTTTTTTTTTATTGCCGGCTGGCATTCAAATTAACTTGCAATTAATCACTTCAATTGCCTCTTCTATAACGTTCAGCACAACATAAACTTGCGATCTAGTGTTTGTATGTGAAGATGATCATAGCCAGACATCTATATATGAGCAAAATGAGACAAACAATTTGATATATAAACATTGAAAAGCAATTTTCCTTTTTTTCCAAATCATAACACACAACGAGAACATATACACATTTATAAAGATGATGTGTTCTCATCGCTTTTTTTCTTCTTCTTCTACTTAATTAATTAGTGGGTGGTCTTTAGTCTTTTGGGTATCGTCATCGTTCTTTTCCCTAAATATTGCGTGTGACAATTGTCGCCTGTTGAATGGTAATAAGAGATAGATAGACATATAGATATATACATCTATATACAACATTTATCCTAAAACACGAACACATCAAATAAAAAACAAAATCTCGAATAAGATCAAGAAAAACTAAATTCTTATTTCTAAACTATTAAATAAAAATTATTTATATTACTCCCATAAGAGAAAATATTGAGTTTAATAATTAAATGGAAGTTGACTAATAGAATGTGTTTACTAAAGTGTAACGAAATAGATAGATAAGATGTTTCTCTAGGGATTAGTTTTTCTAATTAAAATGACAGATAGATAGACAGACATTACAATCTGCAAAGTGTTTATTGAAAGAACACACACACACACACACATATACACACTTACATCATTGAAATATATTTATATAAGTAAAACGCAAAAAAAGAAAAAAAAATTGATAATTATGTTTCTGGTTTTTTTTAAAAAAAAAATATTATTGACGATTAGTTGCACGATGATTACTATCATCTGATACTGATGATGCTGGTGATAAATTTGAATGATTCGATGGTGTTGACCATGGTTGTAAATTTTGTAAAGCATTTAAAGATGCACTTGAATATATCAATGAATTATTATTATCATTTGATATTTGTTGTGATGGTGATGATATTTTTGGACTTGATGATAATGAACGATGATGATGAGAACTTGTTAATACAAGACGATTCGCTGCTTGTCGTTCTTGTTCACGTTCTTCAGCTGTTTGTCGTCGCCATTTCGTTCGACGATTTTGAAACCATGTCTAGATTGGAGTTATTTATTTTTAATTTATAGAAAATAATTCATTTGATTTTTTACTTTAACTTGTGCATCAGTCATTTTTAAACCTTTAGCTAATTGTGAACGTTCTGATGATGCTAAATATTTTTGTCGATGAAAACGTTTTTCCAATTCCTATACACACACATATATATATATTGAATAATATAATTTTTAAAAGATTTACAAGTATTTGTAAACGAGTAAATGATGTTCGAGGTTTTTTTCTCTTTGGTGGAGTTCGATTTTGATATGGATGACCTAAACGTCGTTGATTATTGAATACTTAAAATATAGAAAAATTGATTAACTATTCGATTTTGCGTGACTATTCTCATAAAAATGTCATTAGAGATTAACTTACAAGAAAAACGATCTTTTAGTATACTATCGGTTTGAATCCATGGATAAGTACCATTAACAATTGGTAATAAAGAATAATCTTGATTACGATACATTGATGATGCTCGCATTAATTGTTCATAATTTGATAAATGATTATTTGTTTCATTGATTTGTTGTACTGTTGATGATGTTGATGATAATTCAATTTGTCGATCATGATGATATTCATTAGATGATGTTACTAAATCTGATGTTGTAGAGGATGATAATGATGATGAAGTTGTTGGAGATACAGATAAAGTAACAGGTTGAGCAAGAAGATCTGAGATATTAAAACCAAGTTTCTTACTCATTTGTAGAGATTGATTGAATGAATGAATGAATGAATGAACGAATAAATATATATGAAAAGATATTTTCAGTCGTCAAATGATCCGTTTGCCATTTAGTTTATTAAAAACTCATTGAAGTAAATCATCTCTCTCTTGATATTACTGTCGCATTCTTTGTTGTGCATCTATCTATCTATCCAAGATTTGGCTCTCTTCTCTTCTCTACTTGTTCTCTTTCGTTTTTTTTTCTTCTTCTTTTCTTTTTATCGATGCCCATTAAAACGATCTGTTTCTGCTCAATGTAACGATACCACAATTTCTTCGTTTTTTTTTCTCTCTCTCTCTCTAGTTCTTGTCTGGCAAATTTGAGTTGCAACAACAATCAAATATTGCACGCGATGATATGTTTAATGTAATTGATTCTTCTCTCTTATATTCTCATTCGTCGATCGTGATTGTCTTTTCTTCTTTTTTTTTCTCAATAAACCAATTGACTGATCGTTTTCCATTGAGAAACATTTATCTTTCTCTTTGCATTACTTGTCTGTCGTCTATATGGATAAGTTTTTTTCTTCTTTAACCAATAATATTATCTCTTCTTGTAAAAATATAAACAGAATTAGAAATGCTTATAATGATTATATTGATTGGATATTATAGACAGACGAACGACTGTTGACGACACACATATATTACTGATAAGGAGTTGATGATATTTGCCTAAAAAAGAAAACTGCTAAGAAGAGGTGTTGAGTTGAATGAAAGATTTTCTCATTGTATATATATCTGGTTAATGTCGATCAATCAGATAAATTACATCAGTTAACCAATAAATAGGTGTATTTATAGATTTTATTTTCTAAATATATATATATAAATATATGCAAATATCACCAGAAAAAAAATGTTTATAGAGTTATGTATGAAGTGATGAAAGAAAATGAAGAGTTTTTTTTCCATGTTTTGTATAATTTGTTACTCGTGGAAACATTCGTGTACAATAACGAGGTTCAATACCATGTTGACAATAATAACCTTCTTGCAATGCATGTCGTAATGGAAGAACAAAACCAGATATGGTTAGTAATATACCAATAATTAATATAATATATGGTGCAATATTATCGAGTGAAAATTGTGATGAATGTGGTTTTAATTTTAAATAACATAATGCTGGTAAAATATATGCAAGAGATGATGCAACTAATAATCCCTAAAATGAGAAATCAATTAGTTATTGATAAGCATGATAGACGTTATATTCTATTGAATGAGTGAAAGGAAAACTTACATTTAATTCGAGAACAATTCCAAGACAATCTGTAGCTAATGATAGTAATACACTAGCAGTAACAATAAAAATTGTAAGAATATAATGACTACGATCTGAATTGAAATTTATCCATTGACTACACAAAATTTCGATTACCTTGATGATAGACAAATAATTAACTATGTATATAGATATATATAAATCATACTTGACGGCAAACAAGACATTCTAATGGAAATGTCAACATTATATTGATAGCATAAATAAGTCGTGCAATATTAATAAGTGTATCCCAATGACAATAATTTTCCAAAAGATCACCTTTTATTTATATCATAAAAAAGAAAACTAAGTTAATTAATACGAGGGGATATAGTTTTTCTATACAATATACCTTCAGTTCGTTGACCAAAGACAATATAACCTGTAAGAGCATATGTAATAGCAAAAGCAAATGCAATTGTAGTGGTAATTAATGTTACAACTCGCCATCGTGGTAGAGTTTTTTCAGTCATTGAATGAAATATAAGAAATGAATTATGTTGACACATAAAAGCAAATCTATATATATATATATTCAAAAAACAACAAGATGATTAAATTTTATTTTCTTCTTACGCCATAACACCAATACTTTCAGCAATATTTGTATTTATCATACGAAGATTACGAGTTTCTTGTGATCTAAATATTTTATTAATAAGAAATATTTTTAAACTAATCAACTTACATATATGGTATCGTATCAGAACCACGTTTTATCAATATTAATACTGTTGTTACAACAAGAATAAGACCAGCAAGTGATATCTGAGATAATTTAGCAATATTTCGATAAAGTGATAATGGTAAAGTAACAAAAAGAGAACAAAGAAAAATAATTGTATAACGATCTTGAAATATATAAGGTATTGTTGGCCATAAACGATGAAGAACTTTAGTTACTGTATCACCTTAAATAAATTTAAATTTTTAAAATAATAATAATAAGATTTAGTTTGTTAGTTATTTTTTCTATACCGATGATAATATTATATGAAATAAGACAGATAAATGGATAAAGAAATTGAACTAATGAAAGCCATATAAAACCGAATTTACCAAGAACATTATAAACAAGTTCTTGATATGTTGTTACTTTTGCTAACTGACCTGAACGAAGTAAAATTGTAGTTGAATAATCTAAATAATAAAAAATAATAATTTCAATTTTATACACTCCAGTTTTCCTTACCAGTTAAAATCGCGACTATACCAAGTAATACAAGTCCAGCTAAATAACCTGACTGTCGGAATGCATAGCTCATACCTATGTGAAAGATATTTTTTGCATATCGAAATATTATGAAAGAATATTAAATTTACCAATAACACCTGATCCAACAATTGAATTTATTAAATTATAAGAAGCTCCAGCAATACTACTTCGACGGTTAATTTCTTGTTCATCCTAATTTATCCATAAATAAAAATAATTTTTTAATATTGATAATTTCAATAGATCAGTATAGATAACTTTCTACACCACTCGAATGAGAAAATCTTCAGTCGATTCTCAAACACCGTATCAAGAAGCGGAAAGCACGACGTGAGAGTGAATTAATTACTATTCGATTTTTATTTAAGCTCTTACTTACTGTAAAAAAAAATGTTGATCTATGATGAAATAAATAAATAAATTCGAACAATAAATGATTATTTTGTTAAATTTTACCCCATGATAGCTCGTTTAAGATAGCGTGTAACTCGTCGATTTAATTTCAACAAGATATCCATAATAAAATAATGTAACGTCTCATCACAACTTCTACTTATCTAAAATAAAAATATTTTATTCATTCTTCTATTTTTGTTTTTTTTCAAAAAAAATCTAAATTTCCTAATTCAAGATTTTTTCCATCATAAATTTCTTCTTAATTCATTTTTAGATGTAATATAAACTAGCAACAATAAAATAACATAAAATCAAACAAAAACAAAAAATAATCGATGGAGTAAATAAACAACATATTGTAAGTTTTTTGAATAGAGTCACAAAATAAATACATCACATAAATATAAATCGGTGGAATAGAAAGAAAGACAAAATATAAATAAAAACTATATATTACGTTACAATAAGCAATTTTAAAAATAATGTTGCTATTATTTTTTTTCTAAATAACAAAAACAAAAACGAAAGTACATTATTTCCAGATGTTATATTTTGATATATGTGGAATGAAACAAAATAAATCTTTCAAAAAGACTACGCCTAAAATAAATATTTTTTCTATAGTGTATATCGTTTTCTTTTTCCCTTACAATATCGTTTACGAATAATAATAATAATAATCACTGAAAATATTAGAAAATAGAATGGAAAACGTTGAATAATTGATATGATATATCGAATATTTCGAAATTTTTTGGTTGAATCATTATTAATTTCAATCATTTCATATTGATCAATAGAAGGTTTACGTGTTAATTCATCTTGTGTATTACCAGATGGCGTAAAATCCTCTACTGATGTCAGGTCAATATTATTTTTTGAGTAAAATTTTAAAAGAAAATTGAGTGTTGTTGTCATATCAAAATTATTATTATCTGATTGACATTTTGAGCAAAGATTTTCTGATGGAAATTGAACTTTGGGATGTTTTGGATCTTCAGTTTCATCACTATGTAAACGTTTATTAACATGATTATGAACTACAAAAACAAAATATTGATAAGGAAAGAAATGCGAGACCAAGATTTTACTTTTCCAAAGATAAATTATTGCTGAATTTTTATCACCAGAATCAAGTTGATGAAAATCACTTGTTTCTTTCATAAAATTATCACTACAATGCCGACAACCAAAAAAGTGTTTGATAAAACTTTTTACAGCTGATGGAATTTCAATAATACGCATTCGTTTAGGTTCTAAATATAAATAATGAATATAAATGAAGAGAATTGATAAAGGAAAAAAACCTGATTGAACTTGTGAAACAGTTAATGTATGAAAAAGAAGCCAAAGTCCACATGGATAACCACGATATCGTGGTAAAGAACCTGTACAATATTGATAACGAACTTGATTATTTGGTAAATAACTTTCTGGTGTATTTATATCAGCGAATTCTCGAAACTTTTTTCCAGTGATACCATTTGGTTGATTGTCAACTTTTGATAATAAGTTTTTAAGATACATCATAACTGGTTGACGACCAGGAAAATACTATAAAAAAAATAATGAATAATATGTATTTATATGATATGTCGATATTTCTCTTATAAGAGATGACATATGAAAACTAATTTTATCTCAACTTGAGGGTGGGTGTCCTTTCTTCATCTTACACACACCTTAAATGAATCATATTAACTAATATAGAGTAGTAAAGTTCAAAATATCTCTACTAGATTGAATCCGACTGTATTACATAACGAACGATTTTTAGTAAGAAGGAATATAAATAACAATATACCTTTATAAGTACAGTCAACCAATGTAATAATGCATCATAAGCTTCACCTTGAATTTCTTTAATTCGAGGTATTTCTCGTCGTAACATATATGATAAAGCTGTTTCAAGATCGACCATAGATAGTTTTTCAGAAATAGTTCTTGTCTCTACTACATCATCTGGTTTTTTCTCGTCAGTATCTGATATTTTCAATTTGTCTGCATTTTTAAGTGCATTTTTACTATGAATTATTTCTTCTAGATCACGATCATTGAAATCATCAATACATTTTTTTTCATGAATATATGATCGAATTGCATAATTAAATAAATTTCGACTACCCATTTTTTCACTAGAATAATAACAAACAAAAATTGATTTTTTTGTTGTTTAAATAAGCAATTTAATTACTTGTTATTCTGTTTTGTATTAATTCGTTCTGTAGTTCGATTTGGATGAACAATTAATAGAGCAGGTAATTCTGTAATATTTAATTGAAAACGATGCCATAATTTACCATCTATTGTTGTACGAAAAATTGTCAATTGTTCATGATATTTTGAAAAATCAAGCATAATCTATAAATTTCAATGAAATCTATTGATACAAAAAAAAAAGAAAACTACTTGTCGACCAGTATAATCATCTTGTTTTTCTACTATAAGTAACATAAGTTTTACAGATGTCGGTGCATGTGAATAAATATCGCTGAATGCAATTTGACTGAAAATAATAGAAATTTAATAGTAATATGAAATATAATAGTAAAATTTTTACTTTAGAGGTCTAAAACGAGGCCAAGTTTTATCTGCTATTTGTAATGCATCAAGTTCTTTGATTAATTCTCTTTCTACATCTTTTGCATCATTTGCTGTTAGACTTATAGCTTTTGATGTATTGAAAGTTGTTTCAGGTGCTATTAACTAGATTATAAAAGAAATAAAGAACAATAATATATTTTTTATATTCAATTTACTCGAAGTGTTGGAAATGCCACAATCGTATGTTGATCACATATAGCACTATTTTCTTCCGCATAGCAATTTATTGCTCCAATTCGAACAATTCTTTTCCATCCTTATAAAACAAAAACAAGAAAAGCTGATTTGTTTGAGAAAGAAATAATTGTTTATAATTTTTACCCCATGTATCAATAGCAACTTCACGATACGTCTAATGAAAATGAAAAATATATATATATTATTTTTATTAAATATAAGAAATAAAGATAAAACTAATAGTACATTCGCATAAGATTGACAATGACCACACCAACTTGCATAAAATTCAATAAGCCATGCTGTTTTAGATTGATAAACAGTTGATGAAAAATTTTGATTTGTTAAAATAACAACTTTATCATTTGCTGTATATAATGAAACAGAATCTTGTGATGGTAATACACCTGCTGAAGTTTGTCGAATAAAAACAATGATAATAAGTAAACTTATATACCGATGAAAATCGACATTAAATACGTTAATAAATATAGATTTCATCGATGAATAAAATATAATCACATTTAACTGTAATCTAAAATGTTAAACAAATCTAACGATTTAAAATGATCAATGTAAGTATGTCAAAGTATAATTTAACTAACACATACATTCTATTTGCATTCGCGTCCCTCTCTATTCTATTCGAATGATAAAGAAAGAAAATTTTTACGTAGAAGAATGATTGAAGTATTCGACGAGAGACTTAACATTAATATAAAATGATGATAGAGCGGAAGAAAAAAAAAGTAGACAAAGCAACAGTCTTTATAATCCTTTGAACAAAGTTTGTATCGTTCTTCCTCTCTTTACATATGTACCGCCGGTTGATGACAGACAAACGAAACACAAGAGATTGACTGCAAAGTTGCGTATTTAGATACTGTTGACACAAAAATAAATTTGTGTCCTATTTAAGTTATTAAAATTTTACCTATACCATTTAGGATAAAATTATTTGGTTCAGAAAAAGAGATCTTATATATCTATTTTTTCTTACTGTGGGCGTATTTTTTTTTTCTTCTTTTGTTTAGTTCGAAAGATATTCTCTTGAGGACATCAAGTAGGCTTTATAAATATTTCTTTTGAATGACACTCGAAAGTCAGCGTTTCTGATTAATTGAACGCTCAAATATTCGAAGGGATTGAATCACTTTATGTCTAAAAACAAATACGAAATTAATTAATCTATCAATAAATGAATTCTACGACTAGAGAATCTAATTATAAGCATGTATCGTTATTTCTAATATTAGAGGAAGATTTGACGAAAAAAAAAAAAACTAGACAGAATTTAATAGATTGTAAAAAGTATATATATGTAAATAAAAATGTTATTGCAAGTTATAAATCATCGTGAAGAGCATAACAATATTACTATTATTGATCAATAAATTGTGGTTTACGTTTTTCTAAAAATGCAGTCATGCCTTCTTTTCGATCAGCCTAAATAGATTAGAAGAAAAAAAACGCTTCCATTTACATCTTGTTTTTAATCTAATATTTACATACTAAACCAAATGTTGTACAAGAGAGTCGTTTTTCTAATAGATTACCTTGTGCCAATGATGTTTCAAAGGCTATTAAATAAAAGATAGAGATTATTTTTTATTCAAGAATAAAATAGAGTATATCACCAGCATTTAGTGCTTCTTTTGCTAATTGTACAACAATTTTTGAATGATTAGCAATCTTTTCAGCTGTTTTTAAAGATTCTTCTATGAGTTTATCAGCTGGAAAAACAGCACTAATTAAACCTAATTTTTCAGCTTCTTGTGCACTAATTCGATCGCCTGTTAATACCATTTCCATAGCTTTCGATTTACCAATAAAACGAGGTAAACGTTGAGTACCACCAGCACCTTTTTAAAATAGATGCATAAGAAAAAAAAAAAATTTTTTTTGAAGGATTAAATCGATTTTTCTATATACCAGGAATAGTACCAATTCTAATTTCCGGTTGACTAAATTCAGCTTTATCACCAGCATAAATAATATCACACATCATTGATAATTCACAACCACCACCTAACTAATAAATATAAATAGAAAACAAAAATAGATCAGAAAAGAAAAAGAATAACATACAGCAAAACCATTAACAGCAGCAATAATCGGTTTTTTAACTTTGGATACTACTGATAATTGATCAGGAAAATCTATTTTAATAACATCTGACATTGTAGTATTTTGCATTTCTTTGATATCAGCACCAACTAAATAACATACCATCATAATATTTATATACAACATGTTGATAAAATTTACTAGAAAATGCTCGTGTTATACCAGTTAGAACAATACAACCGATTTGATCATTTTTATCAAGTGAATCCAATACTATAGTTAACTAGAATACAAATATAATTATCTTTTAGAAAATATCTAATAGTAAATCTATGTCTATACTTCTTTTATCAAATTATTACATAAAGAGTTGAATGCTTTCGGTCGATTAATTTGTACAAGTGCTACATTTGAATTCTGTCCTGTAATATTGACTAATAAATATTCATATTTCTTCTGTTGTTGTTGTTGTTTATCACCTTTGTATACAGAAAATAAACATTAATGAATGTATTTTTACAATACTTTGTTGAATTGATTCGTTTGTAGTTGAACGACAGATGACTGATGTACTATAAGATGTTTTAAAAAAAGATCTAGTCGTTATTAATGAACGAACAAGAATTTGTGTGAATGATTTTGAAAATAAATTCATCTATAATTTACAGTTCAGATGTTATCAAAATAGAAATATTGACAGAAATATAATATTGCCATATGTTCTAATTGTATTGATATAAAAAATACAGGTCTCTCTTCATTCTTTGCAAGAGAAAAAATCATCAAGTAAAGTACAACATTATTGGATGACACGTTTACCAATGAATATTTCACTATGTTTGCAAGCAAGCAATAACTATACTTTCTTACGGATGGCCTCTATATCTTTTATAACTATTTAATAAGTTTGAGCGCAATTCTTCTTAATTTTGTATAATTATTAATAAAGAAATAAAACAATAAGTATTTTAAGAACAACTCTAGTTGTACAAGAAATACTACTAATTAATTTAATGTCTTATTACGTCATGTTTTTACAGAGGTGCAGAATCTGCCGCTAAAATAAAAAAATTCCCCTGACTAAGAGAAATATTTCCCTCATTAATAGTGGGGAAATATGTGTCGTAAGTATAGAATATTTTAAAAATCGAATCGAAAAAGAAACATAGATAATATATTCATAATTTAAACGGCTTACAGGAGCTTTATATCACATTATAGAGCATTCTCCAGTATTTTTATACAGTCCGTGAAACAAACCTTCAAAGCATATAGACTGAAATTATTTGAAAAAATATTCTTGTTAAATCTTAGTAAACTACAATGAAACAAAAAGATTATACATTTTAATGACTGAATATCTCATCCATATATATACTTCTATATGGAATGAGTCTACCGCTTGTAGTTCACATAGTTCGCTCACATTTTGTCAGCCCTTTGAAATATAATTTAGTTCAATACAGATGACATTAGTGATCAAACGATAGAAACCCTTCACTTTCAACAATCATTTCAAAGTATTTCTATCGATTATAGTTTTAAGAAATGTATAATGAACGGTTCATATTCAAATCTTTGCTTGTATTTATTTTCAGAATTAACTTCGGTTGGTCACAAATTAACATCCAATACGTTTGTATACAGAAAAAAATTTCGATTTCTTCTTTTTTTCTAATAATTATATTTAATAGAAATAACTCATAAAACAAATAATCTCATGTTAACCAAAATATTAAAATATTATTCGTCATCTCTAGTAGTTTCTGTAAAACGTTCAGTAACTATTCAATCTAATTCTCATTTGAGTACTCAAATGAAACTATTAAATGATAATAAACAATTTAAAAAGGCACTTGTATTATTTGATAAACATACAAAAAATAATGCTGACATATTTTCAAGTTCCATTATTACACAAGCTTTAAAAGCATGTACACATCTACGAGATCTTGAACGTGGAAAAACTATTCATGGTCATCTTATTTCGACACGTACAAAAAATGATTTATATACAACAACATCATTAATCCATCTCTATAGTAAATTTTGATGATAAATTTATTTTTTAATTTCTTCTCTCTTATAGTGCAGTGCAATGATATACAATCCGCTCAATTATTATTTGATACAACAACAACAAAAAATGTAACAATATATGGAGCGATGATGAAAGGTGAATACTATCAAATTTTGAATTATATTTAATTATATCTCTATCTTCAGGTTATATAAAAAATAACCAAGCAAAGAAAGCAGTTGATCTTTTTAATCAAATTGAAACTCCTAATGAAATTATTATAAATCTACTTTTTAATGCTTGTGCGCAATTAGGAACTTTCGAAGCATTAAATTTAGTAATAAAAATTTCAAACGCAATCCCAAAATCATTTCATTCAAATTCGATTCTTATGGCGTCTCTCTTAGATGCATTAATGAAATGTGATGATATTGAACATGCAGAATCATTGTTTGATAAAAGAAAAAATAAAACAATACAAATGTATGGAGCAATGATGAAAGGTTACGTTCAAAATAATCAAGCAAAGAAAGCAATTGATCTTTTCAATCAAATTGTTAAACCTGATGAAATTATTATGAATCTATTTTTTAATGCTTGTGCTCAATTAGGAACTTTAGAAGCATTAAATTTAGTAAACAAAGTTTCAAATGAAATTCCAAATTCATTTCGTTCAAATCATCTTCTTATTGCTTCTCTATTAGATGCATTAATGAAATGTGGTGATATAAAACAAGCAGAATCATTGTTTGATAAAACAACAAATAAAACAATAGAAATGTATGGAGCAATGATGAATGGATTTAATCTGGGAAATAACCCATTTAAAACATTGAATTTATTTAATAAAATGAAAGTTGATAATATTAAAGGAAACATAATTATTTTCCATTGTGTTATAAGAGCTTTATCACAAATCGCTGATTATAAATTATCTCAATCGATTATTAAACAAATTCCCAATTATTTCTTTGTTAATAATCATATTCAGTATGCATTAATTGATATGTGGGTAATGTTCAACTAAGATTTTCTTTTAACATTTTCCTATTAAAATACAACTGAATTTAGGGAAAATCTGGTCATATGAATCTTGCAAAAGAAGTTTTTGAAAAACTCCCACAACCAAATCAATCTGAATACACAACCATAAGTTTGTTTAATTTATTTTTATCTTTGAAAAAAAACTTTTAATTATTTATTAATAATTAGTTCATTGTTATGGTTTAAATGGAATGGGAACTCAAGCAATTGAACTTTATTATAAAATGCCAAAAGAATTTCGGGATGAAGGGATATATATTTCTGTTTTAAATGCATGTTCACATTCAGGACTTGTTCAAGAAGCTCGTTCAATCTTCCAAAGTATTCAAAAGAAAACTGAGAAAATTTATAGCACTATGGTATAGAAAAAAAATTTCTGTAAATTTTATTAATTTTTTATTAATTTAGATTGATTGTCTAAGTCGTGCATCGCTATTTGAAGAAGCACAAAAATTAATTGATGAATACGATCATGATCATTCACCATCAATAGTCATGTATAGTTCGTATCATTTAATAAATTTAGTTTATACTGCAACTAAAAATAAAGGAATTTCTATATATTTTACATTAAAAAGAGTAGTTCTTTTTTGGTAGAAGATGACTTTATTTTATCTTATTTCATCTTTGCATTATCTAATATCTGTTATACAAATAATATGATTATTTTTATTTTAGCTGCATTATTATCAGGAGCAAGAAACTTTAAGAATACTGACTTATCACAAAACCTATACGATCGTATGGAAAATTTCTTTCCTCAAATGACAAGTTCATTAACATCAGCAGCAGTTCTTCTTGCTAATACTTATGCATCATCTGGTGATATTGACAAAGCATCAAATATTAGAAATAAATTACACAAATCAGGTCAAAAGAAACAAATGGGTATCACATCGACTGTAGTCAATAGAATATCCTACGTAAGTCTACAATCATAATAAACTTATACACAAATAATACAGTTTATACTTTTTTTAGGAATTTCGAGCTTATGACCGCACCCATCCTCGATCTAAAGAAATCTATGCTGAATGTCAAAAACTATCTGCAGAACTTCTTCAACATGGTCATAAATATGACTCAAGTTGGATCACACGACCTTTAAATGAAGGTGAAACTATCGAATCGGTTCTTTCTACACATAGTGAAAAACTTGCAATTGCTTGGAATTTCGTTGCAAATCCTGGTGCATCACGAATTCAGCTGACAAAAAACCTTCGTATTTGTGAAGATTGTCGTATGTAACCATTTTTAATCGTTTTTCTTAATTTCTTAATTTTTTTTCCATAGATCGAGCAACAAAATTAATTGCTGCAATTCGTAAATGTGAAATAATTGCTCGTGATGCAAATCGGATCCATCATTTCACCACAGATGGAAAATGCTCCTGCAATGATTATTTCTAAAAGATAAAGTCAAGCTCTATTTTTTTTTGTATGAAATCTGTCGTTTTCTTCAAATAAAAATAAAGAAAAACAATAGTTTTTTTTTCTAAATCAGTATATGATGAATATTTTTAAAATAAACAGTCGTTAATCTTATTTGCTGAAAAGTATTTGGAAATATCTGACAAAGTATAACATGTATGTAAAAATTATAGTTAAATCTGTAAGCTATCAAAATTTGTTGAAAAACATGCATGTTGACCATAATACACGATTTTAATATGATTATTATTTTAGTTGTACCGAACACAATATTTATATTTATCTTTTGTCTATGAATTATTCTGGTAGTCACATTTTTCATTATCGATAACATATCAAGTAATTATATCGATATTATTTTTATTAGAGACAGCATTTGAATACTAAAATCAACTTTTCGAATCAGATAAAAGAATCATATTTCAACTTATTTCGTAAAACATTTATTTGAAATATATAGTCGATGCGCTACAGACAGTTAAATGAAAAGAAAATATAGTTTGATATGTATAATCCTTTTTATTAAGACATTTTATCAGCTGTTTGAGAAGAACCAAAAAAAGAAAGAAAAAAGCACCATTTGTCACTGTTAGATAAGACAAATATAATAAATATGATTGACAAACATTTTTCTACTAATTATGTTAGCCAAACGATGACGATGAAGCTAAAAAGAATATAAAACTTCATAATTCTATTCAAACAATTTCTTATGAATTTTATTCTACTTACGTGGACGTCCAAGCGCTGATTGTACAATTTGATGCATACATCGTTGAAATTCTTTAAGAATAGCATGTTGTGAATCGAGATCACTCGTTTGATTAATCTCACATTGTTGACCAGTGACTAATAAACAAGTAGCTAATGCTTCAGATACTTCCATATTAAATACATTATTTGGTATGGTACTAAAAAGTATTAATAAAGAAAGAAATAATTAACTAATAAATCGTTTTCTTTCTTGTACGTTTCCGTTGGAGGTCCAGTTCGTGGTATTTGATCAAGTGGAGTTTGTGTAGTTGTTTTTGGTTGACCCGATCGATAGAAACCAACATTTAAAGGATGTACTGATTGTTCTGTATTCTTACAACCAATACTAAATTTTTTTTTTACATTAGTATAGTTTAAAAATAAAGATTTATTCTTTTACCATTTACATAAACTTGTACATGGTACTCTTGACTAAGAAATAAATAGAAAAATATAGAAAAAGAATATTAAACTTTTTTCTTTACTTCATAACATTCACAATATCGTTTATGACAACTTGATTTTTTACACTAGAAGAAAAAATTTTCAATATAAAACCTCTATAAAACAAAAATCAATGTAAACATACATTACAACCTTTGAGTGGTCTATCTGGTTGTGAAACAGTTGTATTAGCTATTTCGATGAAAACAAAAAAAAATGAATGAATGAAATCACTATATAAAAACTAACCAAATTTATACATTTTTGATTTAAATGCATTAGGATTACGTTCAAGTGTAGTAGTTATTGCTTTGTTTCGTTCTTCTTCATGTCGTGCATCATTATGACAATTTAAACATGCACAATTTTGACAATTAAGTCCGTTTGCAAAGCAATCACAATATCTATTTTATGAAATACTATTTTATTATTGTTTAGAATTATAAACTTACAATTTAAGACACATAGATTTTGTACAATTACATGGTTTACGTTGATATTGAACTGGTAAATAATCAGTATTACTTATTCTATATAAATATATAAAGAAATTTATATGTTGAAATAAATAAGAAACAAAAAATTAGAAGTTAACCTTGCGTTTGTATTTGATTGTTCGGTTGGAAAATGTGCAGAATTACTATTATTTTCTTTTTGAGCTGAATTTGGATCTTGTTGCACTTGTAACTAAAGAATAAAGATATTATTAAAAAATCTAAGAAATATTTTACCGTAACAAGTGGTTGAGTAATTACAAGATTTCCACGTTGTTGAAGTAAAATTTGTTGACCTGATGTTTGTACTAAAATAAATAATCGATTTATTTTCGATACAGAGACTATACATATATATCTATTACTTGTAGATATTTCATTAGGATTAATAAATGTCGATGGAGTTACTAAACGTAAAGTTGAATATGATGGAGAATTTGATGATGATTGTGGAACCATTGTTGCAAATGATACAGTATTCGATGATGGAATTTGTTGTAATGTAGTTAGAGTTTCAGATTTTGGTATTGCTGAAAATGTTAGATTAGAATTATTTAAATCTGTTGAATCAAGAGCAATTCGTTTATTTGGTTGATGTGATTCAATAATATCACTCTAAAAAATGAATTCGATAATTGGAAATTCTATTAAATTATCATTAATACCGAATGTAAAATGACTGGTTTAACATCGACATTTGTTGATGTTGTTAATGCTTGTTGAATACTATCTCGATATGGTTTTACAATAACACTTTTAAAGGGTATTGATGATGATGATGGAGATTGTATTGTTTGTTGATGAACAATTATAGGAGGTCGAACAATCGGATGAGTAGTTATATTTTGTATAGAAGGATTTGGACTCGCCGCCGACGACGACGATGGAAGAAGAACGATGGACGGTGGATTACCAGACATTATTGAAATAAAATTAACAAAATAGTTTATAATGACTATGGATCCTGTTCATTGATATAAGAACGATTTGTATATCCATATATCTTTCGTTCCTTAGCCATTTATCACACGATTGACGGAAAGATTGTTCAAATGAATGACGATTACAGAGGTCAGTATAAGTCAAAGCTGAACATTTAATCATAATTTTAACGAAAATATCATACAGAAATACTAGCTTTGGAAACATTTTCAATATTCTAATTATTCATACAAACAAAAATAGTTTACTTCGACACTAGAGTTTATCTTTTCATCATTGTTTTATTATACACTTATATTAATCATTGTTTAAAAAGAAAGATAAACTATCATAATCAATGAGTGATATTTATCATTTAAGAGAGAGAAACGATTTTCAAATTTATTGAATAAACAAAACATATAAGAAAATCTTAGACCATAGTGAGTTTAGATTTACTTTTAAAACAATCAAGAATTTCAGTAATTAATGAAAAACTTGGTTTGATTGTATTTAAAGAAATATCAGCAACGATTCTATCTGTTATATTCATTATATTAAGTTGTTGTTCAATTGTTGTTGCTTGTTTCAATTGACTTTTTATTTGTGGTATACGAATTATTGCAGCTTCATTTAAATTTGTTGAATAGTGAATTTTTGATACATTATTTGTTTCATTAACACATTCAGAATAAAATGGACGTAGATCATAAGGTAGTTCATTGATCATATCATATGTACGAATAATTAATATTTGCATTTCATGAACTTGTAATAATAATTGATCAAGTAATCGAAATATTTTTATGAATAACGGATGTTTAGAAAGTGAATGAGTTTGTTCATCAGTTGAATATACTTGTTGAATAATTAGAAAGATAAGAATAAATTTAAACATATTTTCAAGACGAAAAAGAAAGAAAGAATGTAATAGGCATATACAGCAACATTCGCTATTTATTTTTTGTCATGGTACATATATGAGCAGCTTACTTTTCTTTCTTTCATAAATTGATTAAATGAGTGTAACGAATATTGTTTTAAACAATATAACACGTGAATAAATCGTCGTTTTTACTTTGTACAAAGTCTATATCATAGATTATTTCTAGAATAACATTATATTTTATTAATCATCAATATTAATTTCATTTAATTTTTGAAAATTATATGTTGTAAGATTGATATTAATTCAAGGTTACTATTATACTTTGAAAGGGTAAACTATTTATATGGCATTGAATCATCAATGAGAGCAGCTTGACAAAACGAGAAAAAAAATACAATTTGTTACGTAGGCAATGTACACTACTGTAAAGAATAGATTTTTGTTCTCTCTCCATAGAGATGAAATGGTGCAGACATACTACTAAATATAATGATATACTATGCAAATAGAGATGTATTTGAAAGAAACAGATTTTTTTCTTTACATTTTCGTATCAACATTAATGGCGATAGAGGTACTGCCGCCGTCTCTTTTCATATAATCTATAAGATTTTTAAGGCACATTCTGAAGAATTTCAATAGAATAACAATTCTTCATGATGTCTGTACATGTATTATAAGGTAAACGATGAATATCAATACTCTTGCTTTTGCTTGAATACGTAAAAAATAAAATGAATAGTCTATTTTTTTCATAGATAGATTACTGACTCAATTAGTCACATATACAATTCTAATAAATGAAGATATATCTTTATTAATTTAATTATTTTTACATAGAAATTCATCATCTACGATCTTTATTCCACTTGAATAGACACAACATGTGGCTGATACTCCATATACATCCCGGCTGACAAATTCTCTGCCTACACATGTTATATATACTCTAATCCATCATAAAAATTAATTATGATTTCAAATATTTATGATTTATTAACGCTCATTTTCATTAGACACATAGTGAGATCAATCAAGATATTTAATAAAAAACTTTTCTTTTGAATAAAACAATCGAATTATGAATATACACAATAATGATAGAATTTATAGATGTCAGATAGTCACAGTTAATCTAATGTAACATGTCGGAATTATTCCAACCAATAGAAGTTAACAATATATCTATAATTTATTTTTCTAAACTGCACGTCTAAAATAAACATTTAGTTATTTTAATTCCGGAGACATAAAAGAAAAATAAATTTAAATAGTCACAAGTTAAATATTCTCAGACTATCTGATGTACAATAACTCATGGATAAAATATCGACTGAAATACCAACGAACGGACCTACTGGTTCAATAATGACTCCAACTGAAAAACGTGCTCTGAGTGAAGTCATGCACAACACAAAACGTTCAGGTGGTAATTATGGTAGCTTAGCTAAATCACAAATACAACCAACATTTTATATTTGTCATAAACTTGAAATCAATGATACTATGCAAAGACTTGCTTTAAAATATAATGTCAATGTATGTTTTCCTTAATTATTAAAATCAATGAAATTATATATATATATATCTTTCTTTTTTAAGATTCAGGAAATTAAACGTATAAATAAATTATGGTCAGACGCTGAATTAAGTTTACTTGAAAATGTATATATTCCAGTTAATTTATCTCTATTATCAACACTACGAACATTATATCCAGATTTAAATGTTGTTCAAAATCTATCGCCAACTGCAATTCGCGTTGGAAAAACATCAACGAATGGAAATGATGAAGGAACATCAGATAGTTCAGTTTCTATCCAATCTACTACAACAAATAATACTTCATTTCAAGATTATTTTTCCAAAATTGACCAACAAATACAAACATCAAAAAAATCTTTAGAAACATTTGATGTTAAAAAACAACATCTATTGTAAGAGAGAAAATATATATTTATTCTATATATATATATACAATAAAATATATTTAGACCTCAGTCAAACGATACATCTTATTCATCTAATGATGATAATAATAATGATTTAAATTCTTCTCAAAATACACGTACAACGATTTGGAATAATGGACGACATAAAGATATTCATCATCTATCAGATAATAATATAACAGCACAAAATCAACGTGAAAAACATATTTCAGCTGCGCTACAACGAATTCAACAAGAAAAAGATGATTTTGATGAACTTTAAAAAGTAAAAACCAAATGGTCTTTAATTATCTATTATGTATGTTGTCAGTCATGTGTGCTTTAATGTAAATTTATTTATTATTTAAATGACAAACAAATATTTTATATAAAATTTTACTCATTTTCTGTTTCATTTTTTTTATGTAATTTTCCCCTGCGTTGTGACGTACAATATTATAACATTTTACTTTTATTCTTTTGTGCTTATTTTGCATCTAAAATGTTTTAGAAATTATACAAAAAAAAAAAGCTTTTTGATAAAAATATTAACAGAATGATTTATTTGAATAGAATTCTTAATGCAATTATTTAATTATAGATAAAGAATTTAAAACAAAAAGAAAAGGATATGTTTCGTTTCTATAATACATCAAGAGCGATTTATGGTTTAAACAGATTAATTACCAATCAAATTGGTAAACGATGTCAATCATCAACAATAGCAAATACTGCCCTAGAACCAAATACATCCAAAATGTCAATTTTTAGTGGACATATAAAAGGAGCAATTACAAATAATTTAGAGATTCTTCGTCCAGAAAATATAACACCTCTTCCAATTTATCAAGTTCTTGATTCGGATGGAGCTATTAAAGAAAAAAGTCATACACCAGAAGTACGGAATTGATTTTTGTTTGTTTTTATAAAATATAAATTGTTTTTTTTTAGTTTACTGATGAACATTTAGTAAAAATGTATCAAGATATGACTTTACTCAATGTTTTGGATCGAATTTTATATGAATCACAACGACAAGGTCGTATTTCATTTTATATGACAAATTTTGGTGAAGAAGCAACACATATTGGTAGTGCTGCTGCTCTTAATCCAAAAGATCTTGTCTATGGTCAATATCGCGAAGCCGGTAGGATGAAAATCATTGTTAAACTAGTCAATAAAATTTTATTTTTAACAAAATAGGTGTTCTTATGTATCGCGGATTTAAATTACATGAATTTATTGATCAATGTTTTGGTAATGCTCGTGCATCTTGTAAAGGTGTTCAAATGCCAGTACATTATGGTTCGACTAATCTTAGTTTTGTAACTATATCATCAACATTAGCAACACAAATGCCGCAAGCTGTCGGTAGTGCTTATGCATATAAAAGGTAAGTAATTATTATAATTAAATAAATAAATTTTGAAAATTCTAATTTCAAGAGCACAAAATGGTTTATGTGTTGTTTGCTATTTTGGAGAAGGTGCAGCAAGTGAAGGTGATGCTCATGCTGCTTTAAATTTTGCAGCAACTCTTGAAGCTCCTGTAATCTTTTTCTGGTTAGTTTATTCTATTTTTTTTTCTAATATAATATTTCTTGTAATATATATATTTAGTCGTAACAATGGTTATGCTATATCAACAACAACGATTGATCAATATCGTGGTGATGGTATTGCTAGTCGAGGACCAGGTTATGGTATGGCTACAATACGTGTTGATGGTAATGATATATTTGCTGTTTATAATGCAACAAAAGCAGCACGTGAATTAGCTTTGAATGAAATGCGTCCAGTATTAATTGAAGCAATGACATTAAGGTAGAAATAAAAATGATTTATTTCATAAATAATAAATGATTGAAAAATAGAGTTGGTCATCATTCAACATCAGATGATAGTTCAGCTTATCGTTCCATTGATGAAGTACGTACACGTGATAAAAAAGATAATCCAACATTACGTCTTCGTAAATATATGTATAAACGTGGTTGTTGGGATGAAGATAAAGAAGAAAAATGGATGAAAGATTCACAAAAGATGGTTTGTCATATTTGTTTTATTTAAATTTGCATACATTGATTTATTTCTTTAGGTAATGGAAGCATTTGCCAGTTGTGAAAAAACAAAACGAGCACCAATTTCAACAATGTTTGAAAATATTTATGATAAAGTTGAACCACATTTACAACGTCAAATGAAAGAAATGAATGAACATATTCGTCAAAATCATGATCATTTTCCATTATCATTATATGAACAATCATCCACATAAAACAGTATTTTATATTTTTCCTTTTGTTTTAATTGTTTTTCTTTTCCGGATAAAGTATATCTTCATTATTGATCATCTCATGATTCTAAGAGAAATGAAATTTCAACAAAATATTTTTTTTTCTTTCATCATCGTGTATCCAATAATCTTTATTATAGCCCTTTGAAGACAGGTTTATTTTAAGAAAAAATGAAAAGAATATATTTATTACAAAGGGACTATAGGTAAACACTGTACAGATGGTAATATTGCACTAATTTATCGTCTGCACTAGTATGCATAATTTTACGATCTACGTCTTTCGTCTCCAAGGAGTTAATGTTGCTATTGTTTGACATGACAATCGTTATCTTTTTATAAATGAGATAGATAAATGATGAATGACGTATTAGTCAGAAAAAGAGTCCCCTAGAGAATTGATTGATTTCATACTTTGTCATGCGTTGAAGAGATTATTAAAATATACAATGACACAAATCATTAGCCATGTTAGTCAGTGTCAAAATTTGTTTATAAATTATTTATTCTTTCGAGAAATCAAAATCAATTGCATCGACAATATTCATCTCAATAGCAGCAGCAAACGATATTTATGGTGTTAACATAATTTATTCGATAGATTAAGTATTAGAATGATAGTTAATATTTAATATATATTTAGTTATTCTATAAATAAATAAAAATGAACAAAGTAATAACTAAAATGGAATTCTCATTTTTTTTTCAATTGCGCATTTTCTAATTTATATTTAGATCTTGTTATGACTTATCTGTTAATATTAAAATTTCGTATTCATCTACAAAAAACAAAGATTTACTTTATCGTTATTTTGTAAAGAATAAAGATAATATTTATGTTAGAAATACAGATAAAGAAATAAAGATAAAATAAAGAATGAAGAAATGTTTTTTTCTTAAAAATAAAGTAACACTCCTATTAGGAATAATATGAATAATTTGAATTTTATAGATAGTTAAGAGACATCTAGATTAAGTCTTATCTTGTTACCAAGAAAAATCAATTACTATCGTTTAGAAATCAATAAGCGAGATAGGTTTTGAATAAATACATATATATGTTTACTTGTAGAAAGAATAGTAAAAACAAAATTTTTAGATAGATTTCAATGGAAACATGGACAGTTAAACGTGATGAATGTATATATACATCATGCTATTGGTAAAATAAAATAAAATACAATATGTTTCTATTTGTTATTGTAATAGGAGTTTGTTTTAAATTAATTTTTAGTGAAGAAAACATTTGGAAACTTTGTGAAAGTTGGAAACAAAATGATCCAAATCATTTAGACAATCTTTATGCAGTATTTATATCGAATGAACGTCGACAAATTCTTATTTGGAAACAAAAATCTGGGCACAATGACTATCCTGTTAATTGGGTACTATATTTTTTACCATATCAAAGTAAAAAAACTAACCTCTATTATTATTATAGGATTATCATGTGATCTTAGTCGATAAATCTGTATCACCTACAATCATCTATGATTTCGATTCTACACTACCATTTCCTGTTTCTGCAGTCGATTATCTTCAATCTGCTATTCGTGATGAAATAAATCTATCGCGTAAATTTCATCGGTATATACTTATATAGCATCTTTCTTTCTAGAATCATTTTATCTTGTTTACTATTTGTATATTTAGCATGTTTCGAGTCATACCAGCTCAAGAGTATCTTAATACATTTGCATCAGATCGTTCACATATGCTCGCAGCAGATAAAATAACATATAATAAACCACCACCATCATATCCAGCGATATTTAATGAAAGTATAACCATTTTCATATATATATAAAACAATATGAAATTTTCTCTCGTAGAATCAACAAATAATATCAATGATTTTATTGACATGAAATCAAAAACTGGGCCTGGTACTGTCATGAATTTAACTGAGTTTCGTGAATTTTTATGACTTTAACATAGAAGAAAAGAAAAGGTCTTTCAATTTTTTTTTATAGAGAAAATCTCTTAGAAATTAAACAAATATAAATTATGTAGAAGCCGTTGTTCTGAAAAAGATTATATTTCGATCAATCTTATTGTAATTGAATATATAAAATTCCAAAGGATAATCATTGTCCAGTTTTGTAATGATGCATCAATAAATATAATCGCTTTGATGGTCTAAGTTATATTCTAAAATATGTATTGCAGCCATTTTATTCTGATTGAATGAAATGAAATTCATTATTATGAAATTCGAATTGTATTCAGATCGAGGAAAAGATAACAAAACTAAGCAGTAACTAATGAACTTGTCCAATACAAATGTTCATAACAAATCAACGGAAGAAAGTATCTATAACAATATATATCTTTTCTTTGTAGAGAAGATTCAGCATCCAATAGTGAAATCAATATTAGTTCTTACAGACAATCCAATATTTTTCAACAAATTCTACTAAATAATGCGATATTATCAATTATTAAATCTAATGTTTAACTCCCATACTGTTTAAATAAATTCTAATAAATATATTACATCGTATAGAGAGTATGCTACGAACATTAGTTGAAATTCAGTCGAGAATGAACTATGTCCTCTCTTTTTTCTAAAAACTTGTAGAAAATAAAATGACAGATGTGTGAATCGATATCCATTATATTTCTAAAGACTCTTTCTTCATCAATTTGTACTGATATTTATAAGAGAAAGGGCAAATAACAACATTATTATGTTTTGATTATTGAAGTTGATTGAAAACTCGAAAAACAATTTCATAAATCTATTGATGACGAGATAATTGCGTTACATGATATCAGACTATTGTGGAAGTGCGTCAATGAATGTTGAATAACACAACACATCTGCTAAAAAATATTCAGTTTGAAGTCAAAAATCAGGTTCTATTTTTCTTAAAACGGAACAAATGAGTTTATTCATATTAATAAAAACACTTTTATCCTAATGACCTCAAATAAAAGCTATATAAATACCAAGTATTTTATTCATTGTATTTTATACAGAAAATGTTTCATATGAAATCTATATTCTATTTGTTTTTTATTCATTGGATTGTGGCTATACCACAAATCAATCTTTATTTTACAGATCAAGTAAGCGAAAATGAAAATTATGATGAAATTGGTATACGATATAACTGTATTCGACTTGCTTCAAATATGAAACAAGAAAATTCTACACGAGAAATCTCATCTTATTGTATGAGTGAATCATCATTAAAATTTCATATTGAAAATGATAATTCATTTCAAACGTTTTCTTTTGCTAAACTTGCAATAATGAATATTACCAGTGAAGATTTATATTTCTGGTCAACACCAATTGATATTATTGAACAATATCAAATCTATTTACTATTAAATGATTCGTCTCTAGCAGAGCAAATCTTTTATAATTGTACATTACCAAGATTTGGATCAATGTGCCAATATGAATTCTATTATTATCATGAAAATTATTCATCATTACATGAAATGATTCATGAATATTATAAGCAATATTCTGATGAGACAACTAATCTAACTTGTTATAAACATTTGAAATGCAACCGCGGTCATTCACCGGCATGTTTAGATTGGACAGAAATTTGTGATGGTAAAGTTGATTGTCTTGATGGAGAATACGATGAAGAACATTGTTGGGAACTTGAATTTAATGAATGTAAACCAAATGAATATCGATGTTATATTGGACAGTGTATACCAAACGAATTTGTTGAAGATGATATTTATAATTCTGATTGTATTGACGAATCTGATGAAATTGCCAAAGAATCTAATATTTTAGAATCATATTTTCCAGTCGAACCAGCATTTGGAAGAGATGATACGATCTGTCGAACTACGTTTGTGACAAGTTCTTGTATATATTCGCGTAGACTACCATTAATGCAATCGATGTTTTCAATTAAAGATAATAATGTATCAGATGAATGTTGGTCAGCTTATAAATGTTACTTTGCTATTAAAACTGCAGAACATCCAAATATAACTTTTGATGTTATCAACGAAGAGTGTATGCCCATTATTAAAGATAAGTGTCCAGATATGTTATATGTTCCTAATATTCCAGTTTTCTTTGGTCATATTTATACAGCTTACAAGAAAAATGAATTATCGCATCCACAACGAACAGAACCACCTTATTTATGTTCGAATAAGTCTTTTTATGATGATTCACTTAGCTTAGTTTCAGAAACATTGTCGAATAATACAATGTGTTTTAAAATTTCTCGATTTACGTCTTGGCAAACAACCGGTACACCTAATGTTATTCAACGATTTGGGAGATCTATGAATGATATTTTTAGACAAATCAGACAAATTCATTCGATAATTAATTTTCCTCTTCATCGATGTAATGAATCTAATTTCTATCAATGTAGAAATTCATCTAAATGTATTTCATTTCATCGTTTAATCAATGGTGTAACTGATTGTCCTTATAATGATGATGAAAATATATATGAAGATACAAATCCTAGACTATTTGCACAAGTAAAACACAAATATTACAAATGTCACGTCACCAACAAATATATTACTCAATCAGAAGTTTTCGATGAAAACTGTAATTGTGGAGATGACGAACACGGTTTCTGTGAAGATCAGAATAAATTCACAAATTTTACTCGAAGAACTATATCTTTTCAGACAATTTGTGATGGTTTCCAGGAATTATATCCAATAACGATAGATGGAAAAAATCAAACAGATGAAACTGAATGTAAACAATGGGAATGTGATAATATGTATACTCATTGTGATAAAATATGGAATTGTTTAGATGGTAAAGATGAAATGAATTGTGATTCTTCATTACCACCATTACTTAATTGTTCGTTGGATTATCGAATGTGTGTATTATCAGATACATACCAGTTGATATGTTTATCAGTTAATAGAGTTAATGATGGTATAATCGATTGTCTTGGTGGTACTGATGAACCAACATTATGTCGACCTCCTTATAATAATTTACATGGAGGATTTTATTGTCTGAATGAGGTCCGTATACCATGTCTCAATTCTAATTATTTATGTACAGATACTGCATGGTGTTTTAATAACGAAGACGAACAATTTTGCCAACGAAATCGATCATTTGAAATGTACTCTGGCATTTGCGACGATGAATATATATCGTTCGGTTCTGATGTTGAAAAGTTCTTATGTGATATTACAAAGGAATACACCAAAGAAAGAATAAAATATTTTAGAATAAATGGATTCAACCAATCATTTGAAAATGAAGTAAATGAAAATCAACAATTTAATACAATATGGACAGATAACGATCAAGCACTATCACTCCTTGGTGATCCTCGTTGTCATCGTGGTCTTGATTTACGTATCTGGTTAAATAAATCATCAAATCTTAATTCTACAAGTACATGTCTTTGTCCACCAAGTTATTATGGCAATCAATGTCAATATCAAAATCAACGCTTAAGTTTATCAATAAGATTCCACGTTTCAGCTCAATCAAGACAAATATTATTTGCAATCTTAATTATGCTTATTGATAATACAAATCAACGAATGATTCATTCATATGAACAATTTACTTATTCATCTATGCGAGATTGTAAAGTTAAATTTAATGTTTATTTAGTTTATTCAACTCGACCAAAAGATATGAACAAAAATTATTCAGTACATATTGATATTTATGAAAAACTTTCTCTCAAACATCGAGGAAGTTTTATTTATCCTGTCGAATTTTTATTTTTACCTGTTCATCGTTTAGCATTTATTATAGATATTCCATCAGAAGATGATTATTCTTGTTCAAATAAGAAGTGTCTTCATGGAAAATGTCTAAACTATTTTAATACAAAAGAAACATTTTGTCAATGTGATCCATTATGGTCTGGACAATATTGTGATATTCCACAAAATAATTGTAATTGTTCATCCAATTCAATATGTATTGGTCGAGCGAGTGATAATCAATCAATATGTATTTGTCGAAAAGATTATTTTGGTTCTAAATGTTACCTTCGCAATCGAATATGTGATAATTCCCCATGTCAAAATAACGGGTTATGTATTCCACATGATGATTTTATGTTAATAAAGAGTCAACAATATTTTTGTATATGTCCAAAAGGTTTTAGTGGAAGTCAATGTGAATTAATTAATACTCAAGTTGATCTTATATTTGATAAAGATATTCATTTATCTCATTCAATTTTTATTCATTTCATAAAAATTGTTCCATTTGATCAAACTGCAGAGATTATACCAAAAACTTCACCAGAAAGATCAACAACTTTACAAACCATATCTCAGGCAACAAATTCTATTCGAATTTATTGGTCACAACCATTTCATCTAATGTTTATTGAAACATTAGAAAAGATGTATTATTTAACTGTTATTCAACCAGTTCATAATTATTCAACAATAGTAAAAAGAATTCATTCATCACATCATTGTCCATCGATCAATAAATTAGTTAATGACACATTTGCTCGACTTCATGTTATTCGTCGTATGAAATATTATCATTTAATATGTCAAAAATATTCATCAAATTTATTATGTTTTCATGATGATATTCATATTTGCTTATGTTATGATTATCAGGGAAAACGTTTGGCAAATTGTTTTAATTTTAATCATCAAATGAAATTTGATTGTTTTGGAAAAAATTATTGTGAACATAATGGCCAATGTTTTCAAGACTCACCTAATTGTCCTACACGATCGATTTGTGCTTGTCCTTCATGTTATTATGGAACTCGATGTCAATTTACAACAAGTGAATTTGGTTTATCACTTGATGCTATTTTAGCTTATCATATTATTCCCGATGCAAATATTTCTCGTCAAACATCAATTATCAAAACAAGTTTATCAATAACAATTTTATTTATGATTTTTGGATTAATTAATGGTATTCTTTCATTAATTACATTTAAGAATGAAAGTGTACGTGAAGTTGGTTGTGGAATTTATTTATTAGGTTCATCAATAACAACAATATTAACAATGAATATGTTTGGATTAAAATATTTTACTTATCTTTTAACACAAATCTCAACACCATCCAATAAATCTTTTCTAACATTTCAGTGTTATTCATTCGATTTTCTTCTTCGAATTTGTCTTAATATGGATCAATGGTTAAATGCATGTGTAGCAATGGAAAGAGCAGTAACAATTATTAAAGGTGTTCAATTTGATAAGAAGAAAAGTAAAGAATTAGCTAAAAAAGTTTTGATTATTCTTTTAATTTTAAACATTTTAACATTAATACATGATCCAATTTATCGACAGTTATATCACGAAGAAAATGATAATGATGATAATAAAACAAGAATTTGGTGTATCGTCAATTATTCTTCAAAATTACAAATTTATAATCGAATTATTAATACATTTCATTTTTTCGTACCATTTCTGATTAATCTTATATCGTCAATTATTTTAATAGTAAAAAAATCTGATCAACAATCTCATTTTCACAAAGATCGACCTTATAAAAATGTTTTACGTGAACAAATTCGAGAACATAAACATTTATTAATTGCACCTGCGGTTTTATTTCTTCTTGCATTACCACGTTTAATTCTTACTTATTTATCCAAATGTATGAGCTCAACAAAAGATTCGTGGTTATTTCTTTTTGGATATTTTATTTCATTTATTCCACCAATGATTACTTTTATTATCTTTGTTTTACCATCAGAATTTTATAAAAAAGAATATCAAAAAACAATTGTACAATATAAAAATCAGATTCAACAACGTTTTCGTCGAACAATTTAAAGATAATAAACGAAAAGATTTGATTTTTTGATATTCAATACTTTATTCTCTTATTTTTATCTTTGCTTTTTTTTGTCTGTTTAGTGGTGTTTTTATTCAATGTTTTACTTAACGTATTAATCTTCTATGTATATGTAAACACTTTATCAATAAATAAAGCCTGATGTATATTGATTAGTAATTGTCATGCTATATAAATAAATGAATCACAATCATGAAAGAATCGTATATTATCTATTGATATAAGATATTTATCTGACTTTTTTTTATCTTAAATATTTGTATGAAAATCAACATGACAATATGACAGTCAGTTAAGTCAGAAGCAATTCTTAACAAAGATAATTTGAATAAATATTAACAATCAGAACTAGTTTTTTTTCTTCTGACGGAAATAACAACACGCCAAACTTCCGTTGAAAAAGTTTTATTTTTCTTTATAATTTACTTCTTCAAGAAAGAACGAAGATATTATTGCAATGATTTGACCAAAATAATTAACTTTAGGATTTTATAAACGATCATTCTCATGAAATGATAATGTTTTCTTTTTTTGAGAATCTATTTAAAATCGAAAGAAGATTAGATAAATGTGTCACAAGCATTGCATACATGAAAGTGATCAGAGACAGAAGAATAAAATATTCAGTTTACCGAACGTTTACAATTGATAAGTAAAAAAACAAAAGATCAATACAGTTATTGAAGTAAGATCCCGAATTAAAGATAAAAGAATCCGCATCAATTGCTGTGATTGTAAATGAAGCCATTATATTAGAATAATATATTGTGACAACTAATATACACTGTGATAGATAATTAATAAATAAGTAGGAATGTAATAATACCAATACCAATAGAGTGTGAAATGATATAACCAGTTACACTCTTCCTAAATTCAATTCATTTTCTATTGAATACTACTTGCGAACTCTACATCTTCCTGAACCGAATTCAATTGGTGTCACAGTTTGATAAACGTTCCCTCGTATTCAAGTAGTCTCTGCTCGGTAACTATCGTCGTTAGAAACACACAACGTAAAACATACAATGTACTCAATTTTTTTTCTGCCATAAATTTCAATTACTGGCAAAAGTCTCATTGAATTACTTTGTTTACTTACTACTGTATGTCGTAGTTAAAAGAATTTACATTTTGAAGACGATAAATATATGTACGTCATGTATTTTTCTTTTTCTATTTGTGGCATTGTCTGACGTACAGCTAAAATAAAAATATTCTATATCGTTAAAAGTGATGAGATTGACGTCACTCAATGGTTTATATATCGCTACTCGTATTGTTTTGTATTTTATTTAAATATTATTTCTATAGGAAGATATTTTTGATTTTTTAGTACTGATCTAAATAAGAAACAATGAGTGTTGTTCCTATACATCCAGATACAGTTACAATACACATGGTTAAAAGTGTGTATATATTTTCTATTTGATATAAAATTTATATTAGTATTGTAGCTAGTTGTTGTAAACCAGAGTTTGATTCTGATTATCCTACTCGCCTTAATGGAATAATTCGACAAGATGAATTTGAAGAATCAATTGCAAATATCAATGAAACAATTTCATCAATACCTAATATCATCGTTACTTTCATTCTTCTTATATTTGCAATAGGTGGTTTTATAATTTTTGTTTTTAGTGGTATAGAAGCTTCCAATCCAAAAATACACGGCTATGCACTACTCGGTGCTGGAATTGGCATCTTTCTTGTTGGTGTACTTAGTGCGATATTTGGATGTTGTATTGCGGGATTAACACTGTCACACCGAATGCGTCCAGCAGTTGCTAATGAATCAAACAAATATTGTACAAGATCTCCAACACCATGTACTTGGCGATTAGTGTCTAAGATAGCTTGCAGAGGAAGGCATGGGCAGGGTCGAATAACTGTTATTCGTCATGTAAATCACATATTGTTTAATTAAACTAAATGATTACTTATATTATTTTAGATTGTTATTGATATTGGTCATTTCGTTGGCATAGCAAATAAGTCTGTACCACCTCAATATAATCAACCGACACCATCTTTTTCTCAATATAATCAACCAACATCATTTTTTTCTCAAAAAAAGAATACAACTCCACCTCCTCAATACAGTAGTTTATCTGTTAGAGGATAATGTTCATCATTCTCTTGTTAGTCACGTACATTTTTCCCTTCTCTTCGTACGCATATGTATCTTTTTTTCTGTTCTTCTCTCTCACATATATATGTTGCAGGAGAAATTAAAATTATAGTTTCATCTATAGGGGAATTTCAAATTCTCGTAAACAAAAATAAGTACATAATTATTTTTATTCACATCTATCTGATTGTGTGAGTATTATATTAACCTTACCCTGATACCCACACCCTTCTGTATCGATTACTTCGAACGACATATGAACTATTTCGAAACTTTGGTCGCTTTTATACATGCAAGAATAGAGACAAGAACAAGGAAGAAAACTCTGGAAGTTTCGTTCTCTTATTTTATATGTGCTACCCGTAAGATCTGAAATAACGCAAAAATAACTTAAGCAATTTTTCATACGATCGCTAAAACGACTGATTATGTGATGATATTAAGAAGAGAACAATGAATAAACACTGGGGATAATGAATAAGTTTCTAAAAAAACTGAATCATGGTGAATGGGTTAAGTGAGAATTGAATATTGTTATCTGAAATTCTTGATGAATTTCTGTTATCAATGTAAGAATATTTATTCAAGAATAACACTCGAAAGAAATTTGACTTATTCTCATTTCCAAAAGAAAATTTCTGTGTCTCTACAATTAATTATAATTTATTTTTGATTCTCATATTTATGTAACTATTGAAGTTTTCATCGAACTTAAAGGTAAGCATGTAATAAACGCTCAAGACGTGTTAATCACACTCAAATCCATACTTTCAAGGATGTTTAGCTAGGAGCATCATTTGTTAAGTGACAAACAATCACACCATTGTGTGATAATCAAACTGAATCTTTACAACAGAATATAATTATTGAAAATTAATCGAATTAATTCTTTTTTTAAGTTTTTTCAACAGACTATAGCACATTATTTGTGAGTGTATAGAAATAAATGAATTATACTTGCACCCTTCGACTTATCACTAGTTATTTTTCTATTCAGTATTATGCATGAGCGATCGCTGATGCAAATAAAAACCAATAAGCAGTACTTCTATTTTTATCATGGGTAGAGAGGTGAATAGGAGTGCTATTATAAACGTATATATGTGCGTAAAAAAAATATGTTTTAAACCTTGATTTGTTTTTCTGACGTATTACGAAAAAATAAAAATATCTCAACGTCATATCTGCGTATATACTTGCTCATCATTTTCTCTTTGACGTCAATTTTCGATATCAATCAATAGAAAAAAACATCTATAAATACTCTGGTATTTACACACAAATACATTTCAAATATTAACAAAATTTATTATTTAACTCGCAACAAGCAAATGTCGTCTAACAATCAACAAGCTCCACTTCCTCGTATGTAGTTGTCAGAAAGACATGAATGTAATTGTTCTTCTGTTTTGCATTTTTTAGCTTCAAATTATGGTAGTGCACAGTGGCAGACTGATCCATTTGGTCTTGCTCCAACTGCAAATGCAAACTCAGGTGATAATGGTGCTGGAAATGGACAGCAATCGTCGTACAAGGAACAAACCTACACTCTTCCCGGTGGCAAAACGACTTATATGGAATGGACTGGTTAATCAACAGATCCATTAAATATTTTTAAATTTATAAAAAAAATTGAAATAACAGCAATTGTATTTTTCATTAGATGTAAATTTTTTCAAATAAAAAAATAGAAATTTATATACTTTCTATGTGTCTGTTGCAGAGTATAGCTAAGATAAGTTTTCAAATAATTGATATATTTCGTTTTTCTCTCTATTACGTCGTATAAATAATAAATGCGGTATACGCATGTTTTTACCTTTTTCGTATTTTCATATTTCAATATTTTTCCTTGTAAGTAAAATATTAATCTTATGTACAAAACAACAACACGAGACTATGATTCGTTTAAATAAAGTATTATATAATATTTATCAAAATCTTTTATGTACATTACTGAATGATCGTCGTCAAGAGTAGTCAACATTGGATTATGAGTATACATGTCGAAAAACAATTCTCTGTACGATAATCAAGAATCAATGAAATGATATAACTAATTGATATTAGCTCGTTCATGGTTTGTTTTATAGTAAAAAATAATCTAATTAAAATGATATTTATAAGCTAACAAATCGAATCTTTAATTTCTAATTATTAGATATGATTGACAACAAATATCCTTCTTTTCTCATATGATTTGTAAATGTTGGTATGATAGTGGTCGATCCTAATAATCGATGGTTTATTTTAACACGTCCCATAATTCTTGTAGATGTATTGAAACAATATGGACTATATACTTTCTTCAGTTATTTTTTGTCATGCATCACTGAATACTGATAGGAGAATCGTAAAAAGTACATGATCAATTTTAATAAGTTTTATATAGTTTTTTTGTTTCAGGAATATTTAAAAACATGCTATTGTCTATAATAACTCAATACAATATTTCCTTATAAGCTTTAATTTCTAATTAGGTAGTTTCATGGTGATCAAGAGTGAAACATGAATCGTGATTCATTAGAGATGTCTAATTATGATATATATTTTTTGTATTAGAGAATAATAGTATCACAATAATAAATTGATTTATGATATACAAAATTACGACTTAAAATGATCAAAATGAAAGATATGACAGTCTGAGCTCCTAGTCGTGGCATTTATGAACGTATTTTAAAGAAAAACACAATTTTTTATCCACTTTTTTTTACTATCATTTTTTAACTTAATATATCGCTACAACATTTATTTTACGATGTTTATAATTGAATTCTAAAGAAATATATCTGCAGTAATATATATATTCAATAGTTTCTTTTCTATTCTTATTTATTTATTTATTTGATAAATCAAATAGAAAAATTTAATCATCAGTATATTTATAATCAATAGGCAATTTGACATGACAGGTAGGATCACTGATAGATGTATAGAGTAACGGTCGTCGATCGGCTAAATAGGGTGTTGCTTGAACTGCAGATACATAATTTTTTGGAATAATATCAGCTACTATAAGTCGATCCTTATCAACACGACACAATTCATTACCATCAGGTCCAGCAATACGTGATTGACCGATAAATTGAGGCGGAGCTAAATTGGCATAAGCAAGCCAAACATGATTTTCAAAAGCTCGTGTTCCTACCATAAGACGAGCAATATTTTCATTCGATAGTGATGTAGCTAAAGCCGTAGGTACGAGTAAAAGTTGAGCTCCCAATAGAGTCAGAGAACGTGCTACTTCACACATTTCTAAGTCATAACATATCATTACAGCTACTCGAATGCCTCGTATTTCAACAACAGGTGAAAGTTGTTCACCTTCTATGAACAATTCACGTTCTTCATTGGCCCATAAATGAGTTTTCCGATAAGTAAGCAAAATATCACCATGTTCATTAATTAATGTAGCTGAATTATAAATTTTCTCGTCATCAACTAATTCAGGATAACATATTAAAAGAGCAATTGAATATTGACGTGCAACATTTTGTAAATGAGCAATAACTTTCTCGTGAATAATATGACGAGCAGCAGATAAAGTGACTTCACGACTTAATCCATAGCCTGATAAGAAAAGTTCTGGAAAAATAAGTAAATGAGCAGAATGTTCTTGACTAGCACGTTTCGCTTGTGATTCTACTTCAGCAACACTTAGCGCAACATTGCCATCAGGTAATGATACACCTTCATAAACAGCTACTCGAAGTAATGAACCTTCATTATGTTCCTTTAACCACCAGTACGATGACATTTCAATCTTATCTATTAACACAACTTAATAGAATAAAATAATGAAAAAAAAACTAAACTCGTCATTGTAGAGGCACGTGGTTTTACACAAAAAAAGAGAAATTGGGATTGGCTAAAAGTGATCCCAGTATTCTTTCAAGAATGATTAACGTATAAAAATAAAGTCACTAAGAATAAACTATATAGAGAGAATTTAAATAGTAACTAATAACACTTCAAAGAAACGAGAAATATTTAAACAGCCATCATTTATAATAAAACCTAATCCTATATAATTATGTCAACATTATTATTCATAATAATATCATTTTATAAAACTATCTATTGATATATATGCTTCTAGATATTTTTACTTCATGAATGTTTAAATATCTCATTATCAATTTAAGATAATTTCTTTTACAGTTCGACTGCTAGAATATATTTATTATGATATGATAACTAACGAAATAAAATACAATCATGCTATAATACAACATAAATGATATATTTAAAAAAGTTATTTTAGTCATATGTTAATGGTTTTTAATCGGCAATATGTTTGGCTTGATGATGATCAGCTTTAGCATGATGTTCAGCAGCTTTGCATGCTGCTTTACCTGCTTCAAATTGAGCATCTACACGTTCGCTTGGTTTAACATTTGGATCAGCAGCTTTTTCAAGTTTTTTCTCGACTGTTTTATTGTCATGTGCTTCTTTAGCAGTTTCAATACCAGCTTTAACGGCGTTCATTGTTTTAACTAAAATTTAAAATTTAATGAAATATATTAGTCTATTTTTAGATGTACTCACTGATAGTATAAGTTGAATTCTAGTGATAAATTTTCTGTTGAATGAAGAATAGAAAATGTGAGCGCCATATATACTTTCTCTCTTTCTCTCTTATCTCTTTCTTGACTTGTCAGTCATTCTAATGTCGAAGAAGAGAGAAAGAGAGACGGAGAATGAACTCCAAAAGAAAAGAAAAAGGGAAATAACGGCAGCTGCATATTTATATTTACATTGTATCATAGAAGAACAAGAAAGAACGACGAAGTTTTGTCATCAGCCAGATTTCTTCTCGGCGTATGATACACGTGATAGAATATTCTAGAGTGAACGGACTCTTTAACCGTTCTTTTTTTTGTTCAGTTCATAGATGAGTTAAGCTTCTTTACATTAAAAGTTTTACATACTTTCTCTTGCTATTCCCTCAAAATGAACCTCAACAAAATATTAAACCTTATCAAGTGATATTGTACGGTACACTCTCAATACATATTATCATTTATTTGATATACTTTTAGTATTATATAATTAAACGGAGAAAAAGATTTATAAAACAAATTTCTCTCACATATTCATGGTTTAAAAGAGTAACTTATTGATAAACTTGAATTTATATTTGAATTGCATTCCAATTTAAAATCATCAATAGAAATTTAAACTAAGTTATTTGGCAGATGATCAATCTTTATTAATTATGTCTCAAATATTCGTAGTTTAGTATTCAAGTAATTCAGTTACATATACCAAAAATATAAATATTTACAAGAATCTTCAAATCGTTTATGAAATTTCAGTTTTTTATAGCAGAGATGTTGCTATGACATATGATCTGTTGAATAGTTTATCAAATTTGCCTGACATAATATATTTGATGATCATGTGATCGACCACATGATATAATTGTAGTGAGGAGAAATAAGCAAGCACAGATGCTACTTTTATTTTGTTGTGAGGATCAATTCTACAAATTTTTAATCAGGATCACTCAGATAGTTATTACACACTAGACATGTTGTCTAAATATTTTAATAAAGGTATTCGGGATTATGAACCGTCCTTGAATACATTTATATATACATTCAATATTATTTGTTCACAGTATTTACATTAAATATATTTATAAAGATTTCGATTGTATGGAAAAATGATTGAAAATTAAGTCCAAATCTATATTTAGTTCTTGTATGTTTGGTACATTGGATGATTTATTCTATTCAAAGTCTCCATTAAATCGGATGATAATAAATATGACAATACTTTACCATTAAATACAGTCATGTCGTATCATTTATATCGACAATAATGATACTTTTCTCAAGCTGACGATTTGTTTTTATATTCCCGATCCTTTTGTTTTCTCTTGGTATATAAAGTGGATACCTAAGCAAAATGTCATTTGTAGTTTTTCTCTTCGTACAGTAAAATGACAAGTATTTCATATATTTTTATATTGTTGGCTATGGTAGCCATTGCCAATGCTAAATTAATATGCCCTGGTTATGGATTCATCCGTCCACTAGAACCATGTGTTGATCAATGTTCACTTGACAAGGATACTTGCGGAGCTGGCAAATTGTGTTGTTATACACCTCAATCACCATGTGGTAATCGTTGTCTTATTGGCAAGGATGATGCCGAAAAAAAGGGAACATGTCCATCATCTCAATCTGAACAAAAAGATCCAAAATGGGGTTTATGTGATGGACACTTTTGCGATGTTGATAGCGATTGTTCATGTAAGAAAAAATGCTGCTCGAACAAGTGTGGCTCAAAAATATGTATTTTACGACAATAAAGTATTTACAATAGAAATTCATTCATTGTCATTAGTACTTAACAATTGATTATGTACTCTATAATACTTAATCTTATTTCTTTTGTTCTCATTCAAAAAGATCTTAATATTCTATTCTATAATTGAATTAAACTATGAATGAAATTACTCTTGATTTTATAGTTTCTACATAATAAAACTAATGCACAAGTGAAGAGTTTAATATTAATTAACTTTCATATGCGATTTTTTATTTAAACATTTAACCAAAAATTTCGAACATGAATACCAATTAGATAAGGAAAAAATAGTTTTGTATTATATCTGATAATTAATGTAAACTACAAGCAGTATCATTGACAGTTGTAACGCTATACTCAAATTTGTAAAGGAGAGATTCTGCTGAAAATGATCGACTACAAACATATATTTCTACTAATTTTTATTTTCAAGATACTATCCTCTAGCAGAAATCTAACCAACTCGAACATAACCATCATCTGGTACAGCAATTTGTATATCAGTTAAAGCTGTTAGTTCACCTCGTACTGGTAGTACACAATTGTAAGGCTTTTTGTTCAAAAAAAGTATCAAGCATTGATACTGATCTTCGAAGATTCCAGCTAACTGCATAAGTTGATCCTTTCAATGGTGATTACGAGATTTTACTAAGTTTAGCAATATGTAATACAGATTTTGTAGGTGACCTGAAAAATTTAAAATGCTAAACAAAACAAAATAAGTTACATAAGATTTTATCTCATTCTTATAGATTCAATCATTAAAAATAAATGTCAACTTAAATAACAATTTACACACATCGATTTCTTCTCGATATGATATGTATAATCAAAAAGACTAAATAAAATATCGACAACAAGTTATCCATTATTTTCATTGTCTCAAAAATAGAATAAATAGATAACAAAGAATAATTCTAGTTTTTTTTACTAGTTTACAATAATTTTTTCTTCATCAATATCAAGCAAAGCTTATATAGTTTATTATACTCCTTGCCAGATGACTTTACATAATCAAAAATATTTATAATACATACAAAATATATAATTCATCTATCTGATTCTGAATCATAGAGAATCATTTAACACTTAAAGCAATTTCATACACTATGCTGATATTTAAGCACGAAAGACACTAAATCGAATGCATAGGAACAAACATATAAAACTGTTTAAATATTGATTATATAGAAATATAAATATGAAACATACAAACAAATCGTGAACAAAAATAGTATCATTAGAGAATATACCGCCAAGTAGCATGTCTATCACCTAAATCCCGAATTTCTTCTTCTGACATATGTTCATAGCCCCACTTTCGTCGATCTTCTTCGCTTCCAATCCCACAGACATCAACAACTTCTTTATTCAACTCTGTCGTTATAACACTTATCTTTCTATTTCTACTAGACACAACACCATATAATCGATCACGACGATGATTTTCTAATCGAAGACTAATAAATAATATAATAACACTAATTAATCCTAATACACAAAATCCAAGATTGATTGCATGACCAAGAATAAAACGAGGTCCGTCTTGAGATCGATAGATTTGACCACTGATTGCTCCACCGCTATTACCTACAGATAACATAAATGCTAATGCAGTTGCTCGTTTTGTATGTGGACTAATATTGCACGAGATAAAAGCAATACACGTAGCCATACATGGTGAAATACCACCCGCCGTTAAGAATACAGCAAAATATTTAACATTTAGATTCTGTGAAGCAATCAAAATAATAAAACCAATAATAACCACTATTAACCAAAACATAATAAAAACAGCACGTCTTGTATATCGATCAGAAAAATAAGCCGTTGTCATTGTAGTAATGAATGCAAATACATATGGAGGTGTTGTCATAAGCTGTGCACGGTAACTTTGAAAACCAAGACTTTGAACAATAGTTGGTGAAAAAAGTGAAAGAGAATAGAATGGTTCAGTAATAGCGATATAACACAAACAGAACATATAGATTTTCCAATCGAGAAATGCTGCTCGAACTTGTTTCCAACTGAAGTGTTCACCAGCTCCAGGCCCAGCATCACTTTGTAATCGAGTAATTGTTCGGTCACATTCTTCTTCCGTTAAGAATTTCGGTCGATCCGATGGAAAATCATTGATCAGAAAGAAAGCTGCTACACCGACAAGAACAGTCATCATTCCTTCAATGTAAAAAATCCATCGCCAACCTTCTTGTCCACCTATACCTCTCATCTGACTGATACCAAAAGCAAGAACACCACCAAATGCACCAGCTAATGCAGCTGCAGAAAATAGTATACTTATTCTCCACGATAACTCACGTCTTCTATACCAACTAGATAAATAAAACGCAGCACCTAAACACAAATCAATCTATTTAGATGGAAAACAAATATAATATATGTATACTAACCTGGAAAAAGACCAGATTCAGCTGCACCTAGCACGAGTCGACAAGCAAGAAGACCACCATAAGAATGTACAAGACCCATCAACGTCATTACTATACCCCATGCAATCATAATCATTGGTATCCACCGACTTGGTCTTAGTTTCTTAAGAACAAGATTTGATGGAATCTCAAACGCAACATAAGTGATAAAGAAAACACTAAGACATGCATTATATTGAGCACTTGTTAGTTTTAATGATTCCATGAGACCATCGAGTTTTGCTTGTCCAATATTAACTCGATCAAGATAACTTAATAGATAAAGTAATGTCATTGTTGGAATAAGATGAAGATCAAGTTTCCGAAGAAGTTTTTTATCATGTGGATCATCAGGTATTTTATATTCACTAATTTGAATAATATCATTTTCTTGAACATTTGCTGTTTGTATAGTGTGCAGTTCAATACTATTGTGATTATCATCCAGAACAGTCATAGTAGTATCGATAAATGATGGTTATGTACTTTATACAGTCAATTATATGACAGCTAGTATATATCGATGAAGAAAATATGAAGTTGATATGCAATAAGATAAGAAATGATTATTATTACACGCCTAAATATTTAATATACACTGTTATAAGATATTTTTTGTATATTACCTTATGTTAGAAGAAAATGCACAGTTGTTTTGAAATCGATTCGCTAGGCCATAAGTATATATTTTTATATCATCATTGAAAGATCATTTTATTACATCAAAGGAACAAACTGACAAACTAATAAAAAAAACCATAAAGATATTGGACATTTCTATAGTATTCGAATGTTAGTTTTGAATAGTGATCGTAATCAAAAATGCCGAGAGTAAAAGATTGTAGAAACGAAAAATATTTTATGACATTTGATATACTTTGCGATAGTATGACACGTTTTGTTTGACAATTTTTTTGTATCAAAAGCATCGTTTTCTTACTTGTCTTGGATTCTCATTTATTTGATTTCCAACAAATAAAAGAATGATGATTGTAACGAAAGCAGCAGAGAGTTACACTTTTTATTATTTTAAATGCAAATTCATCTTAATCTGGAAGATGTTTCTAATTAACAATTAAAATCGACTATAAGCATGCTAAAATTATAAGAGTTATCTTTCGTCAACAATTGTGTTCATAGTTTTACTCTACTTCGACATCTTTTTATACTATGTTTCGTTTATACACTGTATGGCCATATCGAAAACTCAAACTGTCTGATTCTCCATCTCATTGAACAGTTTTGCACCTATTTGATAAAGAAATCTGATTTTAGACATAAGATCACTCGACAATGATGTTTATTATGGAGAAAGACCTACTAGATGTTATTGAAATTCGCCATAAACAGAATTTCAGAACAATGATTGATTGGCTGATTCGCTTTCATATAGTTCTTGTTTTATTTCGCTCTATAAAAAAATTGATCAATAGTGTGATGAAGATTAAAGTGTAAATATAAAGATTTTAATCTTGACAAATGTCTTATAATTGTTCATGTATAACTTTATCAGACACGTCTTCAAAATGACAATAACAATATGTGCATAAAATACTTGCACTATACCATGTGACATAAAAAAAGAAAAAGTTATTAAAATAAATCATTATAAAAACATTTTTCCATTTATTAAAATTATGGTTAATCGTTATTCAATTTCAATATATATAGGTATTTCACTTATATGCTTTCTTTCTTCTGTATAAGATGCTCTGATACATTTCCTTATTCAGCTAGACCATTCGTTAAAATTCGTGAAAGCTCATGATGTAACTCGAGTATTTAAATTCTGTAAACTATTATTGTCTATATCTGTATAAATTTGACAAATAAAAACTAACGAATTTAAAAAATAAATAAAACCTGTAGGTATTGAATATATATTAAAGGAATGGTTAATTTTATATTTTACACCCATTTAATCGCTAAAATACACAATGTTCCAATGGCTTAAGTATATAATTTTTCAAGACCTTCTGTGCTAAAGTGAACGGAAAATCTGAATACCAAAAGGCAAAATAATCACTAAAGCATAATTTATTTAAAAGGGATATTTCAATTTGAATAAAAAAAAGTATGATCACACATAAAAAATGTTACATTTTCATTATATACACATGCAACATATTGTAACATCCAACGAAAAACTATAGGATATAACGCCAAGTAGCATGTCTATCACCTAAATCCCGAATTTCTTCTTCTGACATATGTTCATAGCCCCACTTTCGTCGATCTTCTTCGCTTCCAATCCCACAGACATCAACAACTTCTTTATTCAACTCTGTCGTTATAACACTTATCTTTCTATTTCTACTAGACACAACACCATATAATCGATCACGACGATGATTTTCTAATCGAAGACTAATAAATAATATAATAACACTAATTAATCCTAATACACAAAATCCAAGATTAATTGCATGACCAAGAATAAAACGAGGTCCATCTTTAGATCGATAGATTTGACCACTAATTACTCCACCAAAACTACCCATAGATATCATAAATGCTAATGCAGTTGCTCGTTTTGTATGTGGACTAATATTGCAAGACAGAAAAGTGATACATATCGCGTTACATCCTGAAATGCCACCTGTTGCTAAGAACACAGCAAAATATTTAACATTTAGATTTTGTGCAACTATTAAAATAATAAAACCAATAATAGCTATGATGAACCAAAACATAATAAAAATAGCACGTCTTGTGTATCGATCAGAGAAATAAGCTGTTGTCATTGTAGTAAAGAATGCAAATACAGATGGAGGTGCGGTCATAAGTTGTGCACGATAACTTCGAAAACCAAGACCTTGAACAATGGTTGGTGAAACAAGCGCGAGGGAGTACAACGGTACAAGTAGACCAATATCACACAAACAAAAAATGTATAGCTTCCAATCGAGAAATGCTGCTCGAACTTGTTTCCAACTGAAGTGTTCACCAGCTCCCGGCCCAGCATCATTTTGTAATCGAGTAATTGTTCGATCACATTCTTCTTCCGTTAAGAACTTGGGTCGATCCGATGGAAAATCATTGATTAGAAAGAAAGCTGCTACACCAACAACAACAGTCATGATGCCTTCAATATAAAAGATCCATCGCCAACCTTCTTGTCCACCTATGCCTCTCATCTGACTGATACCAAAAGCAAGAACACCACCAAATGCACCAGCTAATGAAGTGGCAGAAATAAATATACTTATTCTCCATGATAATTCACGCCTTTTGTACCAACTAGATAGATAAAAAGCAGCACCTAAACATAAATGTCATTGAACAATGTAAATCAATTTATTTAGATGGAAAACAAATAGAATATATGTATACTAACCTGGGAAAAGACCAGATTCAGCTGCACCTAACACGAGTCGACAAGCAAGAAGACCACCATAAGAATGTACAAGACCCATCAAAGTCATTACTATACCCCATGCAATCATAATCGATGGTATCCACCGACT